ATTTTTTCTCTAATTATTAGAATTACACTACATTATTATGGTTTGATTTATTATGTTTTAGAATTCAAATAGGTTTCTATTAAAGTTTGATTTGATAACCAACTTCAAATTAGGCTATAATTGGATTTGTATAAATTGTTCAAATTTAGATTAATGTTTCACTAAAAACACTCATAATTCAATTCATATCCATCTAGATTTGTAACTTTATGTTTTAATTTCTTACATTTAGAATTCTGTATTTTTTTCATTTTAAACTCAATATTTTTTTCTTGTGTTTACATTGTAATTGCGTTTTTAATTCTTGTGTTATTGAAGTTTAATACTTGCTCTATTTAATTCATTTTTTGTTTCAATTGTTTAATTTAATTTTTGTTTGTATTTAAATTTTAATTGTTTTGCATTTGAAACCAAATATTAAAGCTTTGAAGATCCCCAATTTGTGTATAAGAAGGATGTGAGAAAAATTGAATACAATTGATATGTTTCCTTGGAGAGACAACCTAAGACATCTTAGTGATGTCTAAATGTAGATTATGTCTGCTCTTGTCCTCCATAACCATCATCTTCAGTTCTTCTTGTACACACCATTCTGTTGGATGTGAGGACTTCATCTGCCTCCAACTCCAAAACAAAGTCCCTACTTTCTTCAATATATGCTTCAGTATAGGATCCAACACCCCTTCTCCTTCTCACCGCAAAATATTTCATATCTTATTCAATTAATATAATATTTTAAAATATATTAAAATAAAAATCATTGGAAAATTTTATTATTATTTAGTTTTAATAAAATTTGAGTATAAATAATCCCGAATTATTATATAATAATTTAATCTAAATTATACAAAATTAGAATAATTATTTGATTATATATTTAATATAAAATTTAAAATATGTAATATTATAATGAATTTGCTGGAGAAAACAATGATTTATTCATTACGCATTGTCTTCTTCCGTGAGAAACTATTCTAATCACATGGTTTCTAGCATAATTAATATAGAGTCATGCAAGTCTAGCTAGTGTCGCAGAGAGTATGGTATACTTTATTCAACAAATAATTCTCTCAAATGATAAATTTTTTTTTCTTTTCTTTTTCCCTTTGACTCAAAAATAAAATGTTTTTAGAATTTAAGTTTCTGTCTAGAATTTAGAAGAATTTAATTGTTGCAAGGTAAAATAATAATAATAATAATAATAACACTGTAACTGCTTATTTCTTACACGTTACAAACCAGCTGGATGAAGATAGGAAAGTCAATATAAGTACTCATCAACTGAGTAATCTTGAAGACTTTGAGGAGGTGTCGTATTATGTGGAGAAAGAATTGATCCAGTGATATTTTTATTTATTGAATGAGATCCTAATCTTTCCAAAATATTTATTAGTAGGATGTGTTCTTAGTAGAAAGTATTAATTTAAGATATATGATAAAAATGATTGCACTTGATTTTGTTAAATATATTTTTCCACATGAGAAGATTCTTTTCCCTACTTTGTGATCATGCTTCACACGCGTTTTTGTTATTTTTCTCTCTCCTTTTTATCATCGCATTTCAGTCAAAAGTTCAAAAGAATGGAGTCCACTGCTGGTGGGCCATGCAGAGAGACTTGTGAGGATTTGGAGCTATTGGGTTGAAGCAGGGATGGTAGTTAAAACTACGGAGAGAAATTAAACGCGAGTATCCATCCGTCAATCACGAGTTTATGGATAAGGGGGAGATGGTTAATATAATTTTGGATGAATGTTCTAATTTTATATTTAAATTTAAATTTTAAAATATTAATATTTTAATAATATTTTTATTTTTTTTATTATATATAAGATTATATTAATTTTTTGTTTTACTTGTTTTTTTATTTTTTTATTTTTTATATTAATTAATTTATTATATTATTCTCTTTTTATTATTTATCAATTTTTATATTTCTTTAATTTTTTTAATTCATTTTTTTCATTTTTTTTTATATTTTACATAAATTTTAATAATAATTAATATTTTATAATTTACATTTATTAAATTCTATTATATAATATATTTTTTATTTTATTATTTTTATTTATCATATATTTAATTTTATTTTAATAAAATAATTATATTTTAAAAGATTAAAAAATTAATAATATAAATTTGTATTATTTTAAACTAATTAAATAAAAATTAACTTATTAAATATTTTTTTATAAATTATATATTTTATATTTTTTAAATAATAACTTAAAAATAAATTAATTTATATATAATTAAATATTTAAATACAATCTTATAATGATAATAATATTATAAATATTCAAATAATCAAATATAGTATTATTATTATTATTATTATAAATATTATATATATATAATGATTAAATATTTGTTATATATATTTTTTAATATAAATATAATAAATTAAAATATATATTTAATTAATAATAATATAAATTATAAATATTTATTTATACATAAAAAAATATAAAAATAATATAAAAATATACCTATATTGATGCCACACACGGAGAGATTTATTAAAAATTTACCGGAAGAGACATGAGGACGAGAGAAATAAGGAATTAATATCACTAATTGATTTTTTTTTTTCATCTTTTTAATTTTTGTATTTTTATTTAATACGAGGCTCAAACTTACAAATCGATTTTCTTAATACCGCAAAATCAATGATAGTGTTATTTTTCAAACAATATTGCAATTTTGCAATCTGCTTGGTCCTATGTTTAAACAATACTCATAATTTTAGGTAGTGGATATAAAAGTAGCATAATTTTGCTTTTTAACTTTAGATGTTCATGTTGATCAATAAAAAGAGGTTTCTGATAGGGTGAACTGATTAGTCTAAAAATGTACTAGGTTTCAGATACAATACATTATTCAGTTTTTTCCTGTCCTGATTCAAAACAAAGAACTGAGTTTCTGAGGTGATATGTAATTTAACATTTGGATAACAAAATTTCAAAATTTTGAAAATTCAAAATAATAAGAATTGTTTTTATTTTTTATAAAAATTTCAATTATCATAAAAATATAAAATATTTTTTAATATTTTAATAATTTAAAAATATCAAATGAATTGTATTAAAATGTTTTCTCTGTCCATATTAAACAAAAATTTTGGAAAAAAAATGGTAATATTAATACAAAAATTCAATGGTAAAAAAAATATTAAGAAAATAACTGCGTCGATATTAGTTTAAAATACTTTGATAAACAATAGTTTTAGCTAGATCAACAGAAAAATACATAATATAAATATCGATTATATAAACAAAATAATTGAATTTCTACAAGAAAAACAGAGATAATTTTTAAAATTATATATTTAATTGATTTAATAAGAAAATACATAATATAAATATTCATTATATATCACTCGTTTTATATCATATTGTCCAAAATATAAAGGTAAAATAGTAATTTCCAATTTAATAAATTTTATTCATCTTCTTCCATTCAGTTTCATCTTTTCCGCCTAACAAACACCAAGAATCTCTCTATCATTATATCTCTACCAAATAAAGTCACCGTGAAGTTAACTTTGAATACAATTCCAATCCATTTTTTGTCTTGAAGATAGTCTTGTTGAAGGATAGCGAGAGAAAGATGGTGATGTAGCTGAAGACCGTATCTTAAGGAGTGTGTGTCCAAATCTAATGATAAGACAGTTTTAAATTATATGACCCTCTTTCAGAATAGTTGCTTTCCTTTGCCCAATATTTCTCCCTCCATTAACATTGTAATCATATTTTCATATTCATTACATTTTTCTTTTCTTGTCTGAAATCTACTTTAGATTTAATACTTTCAAAAATTTATTAAAACAAAACGCCTTATGATATATTTATAAAAATATTATATAAAGGTAATTTAACCAACATACGTCCATTTAATGATAACAAAAATACATAAAAATATTAAAATATACATATTAACAAATTATTTTAATGATTTATTAATGAAGACCATTTTATAAAATGAAGACCTCACAACAATTAAATATAACTTCCAATAAACTAAAATCTATGATAATTTATTAATGAAAAAGTTGATGGAGTTCTCAAACGTACAAGTCTTTGAAAATGTTAGAAAGTTTGTAAGTCTGTGGATAACTTTGTAAACTGAAAAAACAAAAATGCCCCATTGTCGGCACATCAAGGCTTGACAAGAAAGAAAATGTGATTAAAAAAAGACAAGAAGAGAGAAGGTGTAATGAAAAATAAAATAAAATAGAAAATATATCTGTTTGAGAAAAAAAATACAAAAATGAACAAAAATTATTATTTAATTAAAATTTAATATTTATATAATTATAAATTATTTATACATTTAATTTTAGATGTTTAGAAGAACAATTTTATAAAATAATGTTTTTCTTTTATTTTTTTATATGAGAAGAAATGAAATCCGTTAGATTAAAATGTAATATTTTTTTATTTTTTTTACCAAATTAAAAAAGTATTGTTTTTTATTTATTTTTTTCGATCACTTTTCACTTTATATATTTTTTTTCCAACGAAGGGCACATAAAAAGTTCTTTTTTTCAAATTACTGTTTTATGAAAATAAGATATTTAATTTTTGAAAAAACTGCGAAAAATATTGAGCTAATTATTTATAAAAAAAAAAAAACTCGATCCAACACTCTCTAAATACTCTAAAATTATTTGCATTATTAATTTTGAAGTGTATAAAATTGTGACGCGAAAGTTCGGACATTTATCGGTGCATTATAAATTGCACTGGTGGAAGTTCTTGTTGGTAGCACAGTGTGGTAACAAAATCGTGACTTTATCTTCGTTTTGTGAATTAAAATACTAAACGTGGTTACAAAAATTGTAATTATTTTTACAAAACTTGCAGATCTGAAAATTGAAAGGATAGAAGAACAACAGTTCTTCTTGACTTGTTCAACGGAGGAAAAAATACAATATTTGTTGACTTCGATTCTTGCACCATTGGCGTTATGCTATAAGTATCTGCAACATCCCATTAATTGCATGTACGTATTTCTCCTGCACTTGATTGAATCAGAAAACCAGTGGTTGAAAATTTATTTCCCTATGGTGTTCATATTTCCACCTCTTCTGTCCAAGAAGCTCCAACCATTATGGCTGCTTCTTGTAATGTATTTCTGTGCATTTGCAGTGGCCTCTTCTCCTAATCATGATGCTGCTGCTGCTTCTCCTGAGATCGCTTCCGTTGCATCAGAAGCAAATGCTTTGTTGAAGTGGAAAGCCAGTCTTGACAACCACAGTCAAGCTTCTCTCTCTTCATGGACTGGCAATAATCCTTGCAATTGGCTTGGAATTTCATGTGATGACACCAGTTCTGTTTCCACCATAAATCTTACACGTGCTGGATTGAGAGGTATGCTTCATAGTCTTAACTTCTCATTACTTCCAAACATCCTCACTCTAAACATGAGTTACAACACTCTGTCTGGAAGTATTCCTCCTCAGATTGGGAGCTTGTCCAATCTCAGCACTCTTGATTTGTCTACCAATAAGCTCTCTGGTAGCATTCCCAACACCATTGGTAATCTGTCCAAACTAAAATATCTGAATCTTAGTGCCAATGGTCTCTCTGGCTCTATTCCTAATGAAGTGGGAAATCTCCTGTCTCTTCTCACATTTGATATATATACCAACAACCTCTCTGGATCAATCCCACCTTCCTTAGGTAACTTGCCCCGTTTGGAATCCATTCATCTTTTTTCAAATAAACTCTCTGGACCCATTCCTGCCTCTCTTGGAAATTTGTCCAGGCTTACTATGTTATCTTTATCATCAAATCAACTCACCGGATCCATTCCTCCCCATATTGGAAATTTATCAAACGCCAAGGTCATATGTTTTATTGGAAATGAGCTTAGTGGTGAGATTCCAATAGAAATGGAGAAGCTTACTGGTCTGGAATGTTTGCAACTGGCTGATAATAATTTTATAGGCCAAATACCCCAGAACATTTGCCTCGGTGGAAACATGAAATTCTTCACTGCTGGTAATAATAATTTCACAGGCCCAATTCCAGAGAGTTTGAAGAATTGCCACAGCCTTAAAAGACTCAGGCTGCAGCAAAACCATCTAACTGGGGATATAACAAATTTTTTCGATGTACTTCCAAACTTGAACTACATCGATCTGAGTGAAAATAATTTTCATGGTAATCTTTCACCTAGATGGGGAAAGTTCCGTAGCCTCACAAGCCTCATGATTGCCAACAATAAATTGTCAGGTGTTATTCCACCAGAACTAGGTGGGGCAGCTCAATTACAGGTGCTTGATCTGTCCTCAAACCATCTTACAGGAAGCATCCCACAAGATTTATGCAACTTGACCCTCTTGTTTGATCTTTCTATCAGCAACAACAATCTTTCAGGAAATGTTCCCATGGAAATAGAATCACTGCACGAACTTAAATATTTGGAGCTTGGGTCAAATAATTTGACGGGCTCAATCCGAAAACAACTCGGCACTTTGCACAATTTATTGAAAATGAATCTGAGCCAGAATAAATTTGAGGGAAGTATTCCTTTCGAGCTCGGCAATTTGCAATATCTCTCAAGTCTTGATCTCAGTGAAAATATGTTGAGTGGAACATTACCACCAACGCTTGGTGAAATAAAAGGCTTAGAAACATTGAATCTATCGCACAATAGTCTTTCAGGTGGTCTCTCTAGCTTAAATGATATGAGAAGCTTGACGTCTTTTGATATATCATACAACCAGTTTGAGGGGCCAGTTCCTAACAATCAGATCTTCCACAATGTTACAATTGAAGCATTGAGAAATAATAAAGGCTTGTGTGGTAATGTCACTGGTTTGGAGCCTTGCCCAACATTTAGTGGGAAATATCATAATAATATGAAAAGGAGAGTGCTAATAGCAGTTTTACCCCTTACCGTGGCAATTCTAATGCTTGCACTATTTGTTCTTGGAGTCTTCTATCATTTATGTCGAACTTCAACGGAAGAACAAGACGAGACTACAATTTTACGATCTTCAAGCGTATTTCCAATATGGGATTTTGGTGGGAAAATTACATTCGAGAATATTATTGAAGGCACAGAATATTTTGATGACAAACATCTCATTGGAGTTGGAGGGCAAGGATGTGTTTACAAAGCAACGTTGCCTACGGGTGAAGTTGTTGCTGTGAAGAAACTCCATTCAGTTTCTAATGGAGAAATACCCAACATGAAAGCTTTCAAAAGTGAGATCCAAACTTTGACAGAAATTCGACATCGAAACATTGTAAAGTTATTTGGCTTTTGTTCACATTCACAATACTCATTTTTGGTGTGTGAATTCCTGGAGAAGGGCGACCTCAACAAGATTTTGAAGAATGACGAACAAGCAATTGCATTTGATTGGAAGAAAAGGGTGAATGTTGTTAAAGGTGTTGCAGATGCTTTATGCTATATGCATCATGATTGCTCACCTCCAATTGTTCATCGCGATATATCAAGCAAGAATGTTCTTTTGGATTCAGAATATGTAGCTCATGTCTCAGACTTCGGAACAGCTAAGTTTCTTAATCATAATTCATCCAATTGGACCTCATTCGCAGGAACCTTTGGATATGCTGCCCCAGGTTAATTTCCTTTCTCATACTGAGTATAACATGATTTTTTAGTTCATCTCTTTTAGTCATCTAAAAATATATTTGCTTAACAATTATCTTCAACTAGAATCCTAGCTATTTTGCATATGACAGCAATTTTAATTTGTTACAGAACTTGCATACACCATGGAGGCAAATGAAAAATGTGATGTGTATAGTTTTGGGGTCTTGACATTGGAGATATTGTTTGGAAGACACCCTGGTGATATTACATCTTCTTTAATGTTATCATCTTCATCAATTGGTGTGACCTCAACACTTGATCATATGGTATTCATGGATAGACTGGACGAACGTCTTCCTCATCCAACTAGCCCTGATCTGAAGGAGGTGGTATCAATTGTGAAGATAGCAATTTCCTGTTTGACTGAAAGCCCAAGATCTCGTCCTACCATGGAAGAGGTTGTGAAGGAGCTTGTAATGTCAAACTCACCTTTTCTACAACGTACACATGTAGAGCAAAAAGACTGCACATCCTCAACATACTGAGCATGCTCTATTTCTACTCTTTTTATTGTATTTTCTTTCTTACGGAACAAATAAGCTTTACTTTTTTATCGTCTTGTACTAAAACGAAGGAACAGATGCAGTCTTTAGAAAATATAGTTTATATTTTTCTCTTGCAATGTGAGAAGGGCTCCTTGATTACCTCGATTATTTTATTTACTCACATAAATTCTCCCCTCCCAATAAAAGTAAAAGTGAAATTTCTTAAGCTTTGTTTTTGTATAATAAATATAAAATAGATTTTATACTTTATTGGGAAGTTCTATTCAATGGGAAACTCATGATGGGTTAAATCGACGGTGACAGAAGTGGTTTTAAAATATGAAAGACTGAGCATTCTGCCCATGCTGGTGGGGCAATGGTCAGAGAACTTGTGATCCTAGAGATGCCTGAGAGGTTATGGCGGACTGTAGCTGAGTGGCGTGTCACATGGGGCGTTTAATTACAACTTTAATCGATCCAGGCCTCGCGAATGCAATAAAATTTGTGACAGAAGTTTGGCTTTTGGGTAGCCAGAACATTCTCCATAAATGGAAGAGTTACTCTTCAATTGACATTACTTAACGAAAGAAAGTCTTGTACGGTGGAGTTTGAAAAGACATTCACTCTAATGGAGGAAGTGTTAATTAATATCCTTGGTCGATAGCCAGTTCATATTCAGACTGGTGGGACCCATGAAAGGGTGGAAAATGGCTCTGAACCACAAAAGGGCGTTGGAACTGAGCAGGAAGTCTAGGATGGATGGGGCATAATCAATTCTACAACTGACATTATAGAACATATCATTTAACTTGTATTCAATTTGAATTCAAGCCACTACAAAAGAAAAAATAAATTATAAACAATAAGATTGATTTATTAATTAAAATATTATTTTATTACTTTTAAATAAATGTATTTATGTTTTAATATATTATTTCATTATTTATTATTATAATAATTAAAAAATAAAAAATTAATATTTAATTAATTATGTAAAAAAATATAGTTCATTATATTTTTGTATTTTCTTTTTATTTTCCCGTCCAGAAACAAACGTAAAGAATTTTGGAATTTTAGACTATACTAAAAGTTTTAATGTTCTTTTTCAAAATTGAGGCATTTATAACTTATTTTTTTATAATTATTTTCTAACTTTTAAAATAAAAAGACTTACAGGTTTTTAGTTTTAATATTTTTTTCATATTATGTATTATTTATCAATCTTATATTGTATCTTCAAATATTTTCGGTCAAGAATAAAATTAAGTAAATATAATATAATATTAGTTGGAGTATTGGTTAAAAATAAATTTTAAATATTGTTTTTATATACCAAAGAAATTCACTACTTCAAAAACACAATTTTATCTCTCAATCCCATGTATGCTACTTCTTTCTAAGTCGTCACCTTATCTAAACAATATTTTGCGATGATATAATACATTTGTATTAATAAATAATATATAATTTGATATTATTGACTAGTTATACTATTTTAATCACTTAATACGTCTTTGATATAAATATATTTTAGTTTTTATTCTCTTGATTAAATAATTATTTTATTATGTTAATTTAATTAACTTGATTATCTTACTCCTAGTTTGGTAGGTTGTTTAAAGAAAGTACGTCGAGGTCTTCTAAACACAATAATTGCACACTTACCTGGTAGTGTTGAGAGTCTCCTGGGGACAAAGAGTCTTTTGAATGTTTTGGAAAGAAAAAACTCACATTATTTGATTACAAAAATCTCAATGTTTAATTGTTTAAGTATGTCAAAAAAAATTTAGATAAATAAGATTGCATTCAATAATTAATATTATGTGAACTTTTATTTGGGATATTTTACATATTAATTTAATGAAAATATTTATAATATTTTGTTGATTATAAATTTTTATTTTCAATATTAATTCAAATATTAAAGTGCAAAATGTGTAAGGAATATAAATATGTAAAAAGTGTAAATGTGCATGAAGTATAAAGAACATGACAAATAAATGTGTTAGAAAAGTAAATGACTCATGTTAAAATAGACTTAATAAAAAAATCAAATGAAATTGATGACCTAAATTATTAAGAACCTTTGTTGAAATAGTTTTTCTTTGTTTGCAATATTCTTTTAGAATATAAGAGTTTTAATACAATTTGTCATCACTCTTAATTATATTTATTTGATCTTATTTATACTTTATTTTGTTTAACCACTTGAAAAATAAAATATAAATAAAAATGGTTTATTCCCTATTAACCATTTTTTCTTCTTTTTTAAGTAGTTGCATTGTCACACGTAATACTTGTAACCGTCTATATCACATTATGAAGTTATAACTGTCTTTATCATATTAGAAAGTTAAAACCGTTTTTCATACTTCTTTGATTTTATGACTTTTTTTTATATCTTCTTTGTTTTTCACATTTCTCTAAGTTTTCAATTTTACCGCTTTTGTCTTTCTCTTCATTTCTCCTTTGATCATTATGAACCTTCAATTTGTTGATTCTTCGATTTTTTTCTGATTACCTCACATTCGTCTTGTTTTTCATTTTGATCGCTATGAATTTTCGATTAGTTGATTATTTGATTTACACTTTTGCTTACTTGTTTTATTTGATCTCGATTTCCTTTACATCTCTCAATTGAATATTCGATTTCTTACCTTCTCAATTTTTGGACCCTCTTTATCTTTATCATTTCAATCTCAATTTTTACCATATCAATTATCAATTCTTTTCTTTAACTTCAATATATTTCTTCAACTCATTTTTTCAATATATTTGTAAATTTATCAATAACACATATAGTGACCCCAAAAGCTTAAGAAGTCTCTAGGTGTTAAAGAGTCTAGGATGTTTTGAAAGAAAATTTCACTCTCTTTGATTAGATTATATTGGCATACTATTGTATACTAGCCTCATAGGTTCGAGGAAGCTTTAGGGGACGAAAAGTCTTAAGCATTTTAAAAGAAAAATCTACTTTCTTTGGTTGGAAACATCTTGTCATACTATCAAATATTGATCTCCTAGGCTTGAGAAATCCCTAATGATGAAGATTATTCTATAAATAATATTATGGATTGTGTGAATAGTGAGAAGTTCTTATTAATATGACATGTTAGGAATTTGAATTGTTCACATATATTGCCTGTTATGTTAGAAAGATCTAACGAATGGGGGTGCACTACATTTCAATTCTAATCACTTGATTGTCTATAAAAGGGGTATGGGTCATTGTGGTGAGATGATTACTCTTTGACCATTTATAAACAAAGAAATTCAAGAGACTTTAGCAAAAATTATTTAGAAGTTAATCATGTTGTCATTATCATTTTCCCTTGGTATTGGCTAGAGGGTTATCAACAACATAAATTATAGGCATCTCATCCTTAGACTTGATGATTTGCTTAGTGAGGTACAAGGTACTATCATATTTTCCAAGATTGATTTAAAGTGAGATTATAATCAAATAAGGTAAAGAAGGAAATAAATGGAAAATTGAGAAAAAATGAAAAAAAAAAGAGAAAAGAAGAAAAAGAAAAGAAAGACAAGGGAAAAACTACTAAGAATAATGGCATCATGATGTCGCACAAGTGGATTAAAAAGGTTTTACAATTTCGTGGGCGAATTCTCTCTAAGGAGGGGAGGATGATGAGTCCTTGAGTCTCCCTGAGAATGGAGAGACCTTCCCTAAGAGGATCACTAGAAACATGACTAGAAGGGAAGTCTCATTTCTACCCTTATCTCTTAATTTACTTAGTATATTTCCTTCTCTTTAATTTCTTAGACTCATATTTAAATCCTCTTTTTGTAGGATTACTAAAGGACACCTCCTTTTGAAGTCCACCACCTTTTTTGGAGGAAATGAGCTTTGGACCCAAGCCTTTGAAGCATGGACAACCCATGAGGAAAGAGAAGGTCAACCTTTGACCCCCTAAAAGAGAAAGGCCACAGGTTTAGTGAGAAAACAAGGGGAGGCATCCCTTTTAGGTTAAAATTAGGACAACATGTACTTCTAGAATCTCTAATGTAATTTCCTCTAGGTCTCTCACTCATGTCTATATATAAAAGGCTCCTCACCTCTAATATATAGTTAGAAATTGAATGAAAGTTTAAGAGTTATTCTCTTTGAGTGTTATTCTTTCTTGAGTCTTATCTTGAAAGGTTCAAGTGATGACAATCACCACTCATCTTGGGTTAATTCATCCCCCAAGTGGTATGTCATCATCCCTTGCTCATCCCAATTTTTCTCTTCTCCATTTTTTTCCCTTTCTTCTTTTATTTACTGCATTGATGGTCTTGCACATCCAACCCCTTTATATTTGTTTTTTCATGCTTTAAATCATCTTTTATCCTCTCTTGAATCCTTGAAAGTGCACATTCACACCTACATAAGTGATTATCTTAGTGTATAGTGAGAATCTTCCTTGGATTTTCTCATATTGTATTAAACATCTTATATGTTGGACTTAAAAATTGCACTCACATCAATTATTGAAGGTTGGATTGAGTTTAAGTGCACAAAAGATGAACTTGTTGAAGCCACTAGTTTGGTAAATGAAGCATTTGAAGCTAACCCTCTAGTAAATGGTAGGGTTAAGGAGCTTGAGGCTAAGTGTGCCAAGTTTCAAAAGAAAGGTGTCTCTTGGAAGGATTCATGTCGACAAGCAAAGAAGAGTGAAACGAATCTTAGGGATAATGTTAGAGATCTTGAATAAAGATTGACTAGTATGACCTATCGTGTGATGCCGAGATGTCTCTTACAAAGTAGACAAGAAAGGAGTTGATGGACATGAAACAGAGTGTTCTCCATGAGCACAAAAATGGTTTCAAGAAGGCCTTTATACAGGCATACTACTTTTATCGACAAGGTAAACCGCTAAGCAAAGTAAAGTTTGATGTTGAACATGATTCGTAAAAGCGTGAGTTTTTTCCTATCAATATCCTTGATGTTGCTAGGGCAACATATAACATCTCTGTTTGACTAAGATGTAATTGTAGATTAGTGTTTATAAGTTTGAAAATTAGTAACTTTATGTTGTTAAAGAAATCAAACTAGGTCTTGTTAAATTTTTATTTTTAATGTCACTATTGTTGCTAATTTTTAATATCTTTATTGTTGTTAATATGGTGTGTGATCATATAACATATTTTATCGTCTAAATGTGATCAAACAATACAATACAAAAAAATATGTAGTGATTAGAGAGAAAACTAAAATGTATTCTTGAAGAGCATTAATAAAGTGTTTAAGAAATCTAACTTGTAAAGAGTTAGAAAAGGAGGATTTTGTTACTTTTGTGTTGAAAATAGTAAAAAAAAGTAAAAAAACCTCAAGGGATTAATATCAAAGCAATAGCATTGTGCAAGAAACAAAACATTGAAATTAGTAAAAACATAATGAAAACAATAACTATTATGCATTAAATTGAACTAAAAGCTATGAAATTTAATGTTTGATTCCCCAATTATCAACTTATTACTTTAAACGTCATTGATTTATAGACCTAAATGTTATTATAAAATAGATCCAAAACAATTCTACACATTTTTCAATCTAATTAATGAGATCAAATTAATTCATCGCATTCAATTAACCTAAAAGCAACATTTAATTTCTAAGAAAAACAATCACATAAACCTAGAAATTAATTTGTGATGTAATTGGAGAAATAAGTGAACAATCTTAACTACATTAATTATAATGGATTACAAATTATTAAAATTATGAATAATCAAATCTAAACTATACAAAACAAACTTTTTATTGAATAATCAACCTAAAAAACATAGAACTTCATCATAGAATAATAAAATTGCAAAAAATAGTAAATAAAAGTAATAAAATTTCAAGAAAACAATAAAAGAATCTAAATTGCGGAAAGTAAATGAAAACAATAGATAAAATGAAACAATTATAATTTAAAACATCTTGAATTTATGAATTTCAAGACATAATTCGTACAAGTACATTAAAAGAGGAAGTTGCAAACTCTATTTTAAGAACATGAAAAGAAACTAAAGAAAACTACAAAGAAATATGAAATTTAGATATAAAAACTATTTAGATCTAAAAAATCTAAAAATGAAAAATAACTTATGTATTTTGATTTTCAAAAGTCTTTATATACAACAATATATGCAATTGAAAAACACAATATCCATATAAGACCAGAATAAATCAATTGGATGTTAAGTGAAAATTATTAATATTAAATATTTAATCTTCTTATTTTATCATTCTTGCATCAATATAAATATTCAGTAATTTAATTATAAGTAAAATATATAAACAAAACATAGTTAAAATATAATGATCAAATAACTCCACATTCAACTTTTTGCACTTCAAAACAAAATTATAAATAAAACAACAAGATAAAAATACATTTTATCAATAAATCAAATTAATAATTAATAATTTTAAATTATAATGTTAAAACACATATATTGATTAATCATTTTAATAGATAACAACTGATCAAATATTCATCATAACATAAATAAAATTAAAAGTTTCACTTGGATAAAACTTAACCAATCTTTTTGGTAAGTGTTTATCTCAAATCCAATATAAAAAATAAGATTATTAGTATGACAGTTTTCTCAATAAATAAATTGTAACATATACAAATTAAACATAAAATTTTTAATTAGCTTAAACGAGGTTAAGACCATGATATAAAGGAAAAAAAATAAATATATAAAATAAACTAAGAATTAAATGGGGAATAAAATTTTAAATAAAATATTAGAATATTCCCCTATTTATATATATTATTTTCCATTTTCTTTTCAAATCTGTTTAGTGAATTTATTTGTTGATGAGTAATCAAATTTTAATATCTTTTATTCTTTTTAATAAATCAAAATGTTTTATTGGCATAGCATTTGTAGTCCAACGGTAGGATAATTGCCTTCCAAGTAATAGACCCGGGTTCGACTCCCGGCAAACGCATAATTTTCATTTGTTTCCTTTTAATCTTTTTCTATTATTTTACTTTGTGTTATTTTTTTATTTGTTCATAAGGGCTTAAGCGAAATTTTGTAGCGCTGAGTGAATCGAATAACATTGACCTCTTATTATTATCATTATTAATATATAAATAATAATAATACAATTTATTATTTTTATTTAATATAATAATAATTTTTTAATAATAATGGTATATAATAATATTTTAGTGAAAATTTAATAATAATATATTATTATAAATAACAATAATAGGTAAATTATTATTTATGTTAATAATAATTATTAATTTTAATAATAATATAAATTTATTAATAATTATTCAATGTTAAGATTATTTTATTTTTATTAGTACTAAACTAATATTATTAATAAAAATTAATAGAATTATTATTAATATTATTAATATAATTAACTTATTATTAATATTATTGTTATTTTATACATTTATAGTTATATTATTATTAATAATATTATTCTATTATTAATAATAATGATAAAATAACATTAATAAGATAATTTAGAATTATAATTATATTATCTTTTATTATTATTATTATTATTATTATTTTAGTAGTAGTAATAATATAATATTAATAAAATTAATAAAAGAATTAATAATTTTAGTAATAATATAATGTTAATTATTATTATTATTATTTATTTATTTTATATTTAATAATATGAAATGTATTATTATTCATTATAATAATAAATATTATTATAATATAAAAACTAAAAGCACTTTTTTTATAAATATATATAAAAATCGTTATATTTAATATGATTTTTAATTTTTTTAAAAAGAAATTAAAGACTGAAATTATACCATAAAATAAGATTTTTTTCATTGAAAGTCGTGTTTCACGGCTTAAAATTTTTTAGATTTTATCCATTTTGATAAATTTTAAAAAAAGTTGTCCCCTTTATATATATTATAAAGAAAACCGTAAATTGAACTACGTTATAATCAAAGTAAAGTAAATCAAACTAACGGATATTTTATTAAATTACTTGGATATTTGAATTATTTCAACTATTACCAACGGATATCATATTTTAAATATATTTTTCAATTGTATAATATATAGTTGAATTTAGTTCAAATAATTCTATTAATTTAGTTCAAATAACTATATTAAGGTTCAATTTAGTTTTGAAACACTACGTTAAAATATAGATTTTGAGGTAGTTTTGTTTAAAAACAATTGAAGTTTTTATATAATTCGGATAAATTAAGTACCAATTTAATTGAGTTCAAATTGTTTTAACGGTCCTAATAGATACATATAGAATATAGACAATGGATAAAAAAAAAAATACAATCAGTGAAGGTGAAAGAAGGTTAAAAGTGTTCCAAGTCATATCATTCAACTCACTACCTAGAACACCAGAGTCCTCTCACTCCTATGAAGCTATATTTATACATTAACATGATCTATGGGTACAAAATAGAAGTACATTACATAGTAATATTGTATTCCCCAGAACTATTTGTAGTTTCTATCATTCTGGTGCCCATGCTGAATATTTGGAGATGTATTGTCATGAGTAGTAATCATGTAGGAATTTGAATTGAGAGGCTTTGTGCAGGTGCCACAATTCTTTCCCTGGAAAGGTCTATTACAATGTACTATACTCAAAGGTCTTCTTCCCTGTTTGGGTGATTCAGGATCCTGCAAGAATCAGAGATTAATCCATTTTTATTTCAATTCTTCACTACTAGGAAAATTCGTAACAAATTCGATATGAAGTATTTTTGTCATCTTTTACATGATATACATAACCGTAAATACATGTTAGGATACCTTTTTGGTCCCTCTCCTCGATGCTTCTCTATCCTTGTAAAAATCAGGTGCTGACCTTGCTTTGAAGCAAAAGCTCTGACGTAATTTCCGAATATTTATCTCTGCTTTCTCCTGCATGTGCGTGGTTTCAATGTTACTGATTAAGCTGAAGGAACCATGTAAGAAAACCATCACAATGACAATTTACATATCAACCCACCTTGAATTTTGTATGCAGCCGCATTTTCTGTGCTTCACTATCCCTAAACTCCTTTTCAAGTTTCTAAATTGATGAAGATCATCAGCAGACAAAGAACGACAAATAATCAACATATGTACTAATGGGGGAGCATAATCAATGAATCATAAGATCAAAGTTAGATTTTACCTTCTTTCTACTTGAAGCTCTTTCTTCGGTTCTCCAGCTAAATGGGGAGGATATAATGGGTGATGTCTTTTGACTTCTACATCCATCAAAAGCACTGAAATGTTATTTCAGACATAATAACCCTAATTAAGAATCCTCTCCAAGTAGAAGTGAATGATTAAAGGTACTTGAAACATCATTATATAGTCATTAGTACAGGTTATGAGAAATGTTTTCCGAACTGACTCATAATACATATATATAATAATGTTATTCCTGAGGAAATTTAGGTGTTTTGGACTGTTGAGAATTTTGTGGAAAAAAACGACATAGGGATATTTATCATTGGACTAATAAGGGACTTTGGATTCTTTTATATTGTTCAACCTTCCCATTTATAAGTAATATAGGACCCTAACTTATAGTCGAATGGATTTGATCATTTTGAAAATTATATGCAAGAAAAACCATTGTCATCAGCTACCTTTCAGCTTCTGCTAATGGGGTAACTACTGAAGAATCCTTTTGCAACTCATTCTTAGGAACCTGCAATTAGAAAATGGCTCACAATTAGCATCGTTGACTTCAAATGCAACTTGGAATATCATAATAAAATGGAAGCTAAAGGTTTTGTCGGAGGTTATATAATTGAGTAGGCATTTGAGTATGGAATACCGTAGTTGTGGTTCTTAGAAGAGTCGAGCCATCCTTCGAAGCCTTATTGGAAGAAGCATCTCCAACTCTAGTATTTTCAAATTTCCTCACCAATGATACAGCCAATCTATTGATTTCTCTAATGAGTGTGAAATTAAGCGACATTTGCGGTGACTTAGCAGTTGATTTTTCTTTATCTGCAGACTTACTTCTCATTGGGGTAGCAATATCATCTTTATTAGAAAGACAAGGAGTTGAGGGTTTTACTGGTGTAGAGTTGTTGAACTTTGATGTTCCAACAATTTTTAACAACTTGAATGAAGAAACGGGTTGTTTCTTCTTGCCCCTTGATTGCAAAACTTCCCTAGCAAAGTTGGTACCCTGCAGCAATAATTAGTCTTGTTCAGTTTCTATGTACTAAAAATATAAAGACAGTGGAAAAATAAATCGACAGAAACTACGCTAGTTTCAATGTTTTCCATGAGGACAAAATATTACATTTTTCGGATCATATATGGTCCTGACAAATTTTCACGTCACACGTTATTTAATTCTTTTATACAAATTTAAATTTATAAATACGTGTTCAGAAGATATTGGTGGGAACCATATGGTTGTAGACCATGTAATAATTTCGCATCAGAAAAGACACTAACCTCTTCGTCACTTGGCTCCTTATAGTTGCCAGCATGGTGTTCTGATTGAGCTCTTTCTACCTTGTTACTGGGAGGTAAATAAGTCTCTGTATTCGAATTTGACTTATAGGCAGTATCAGCTGAGTCAGTGTTGAAAACATGTGCATTTTCTTCATGGAGAACAAGTTTAGACATTGGACTTGAAATGTGTGAATTATGGGTGATGTCAACTACTGCTTGGTGTTCTTTCTGGGTCTGTGAGGCACTGGTTGCTTGTTCAAGCAAAGCAGCTGCCTTTTGAGCAGCAAGTTTCTTGTAGTGGGCTTCAAAGAAAGCTTTCTTCTGTGCAACTGAACCAGGCTGTGTAAACCTCTCTGCCTCTTCAACATAGCGGTTTTGAGAGAAAGTTGACCATTTCTCCCATGCCAGAGACTCTGACGTGAACCTCCCAAATGAGATTGATTGCCCAAGTGCTTGATTTAAGTTGCTCTGAAATGTACAAGTTTCTCAAGGTGAATCTTCATAGCATCATAGAGTTGTAGTAAATGAAATTTGAAAAAATGGTCAACAACCACGATTTCCACTACAATGTCAATGTTTTTTTGGAATCTTTATCATTAAGTTACATCTAAAACAATCCTTGTATCAACTGGAGTTTTTCCTAATTTTCACAATATTGAAAATCAGAACAAAACCAGGACTGTGTCCACGGTTTAAAACCTTATTAATAAGTCTAATTATGATCAATTACACCCCCTAAAGGTTTTGTGATGTGGAAATCCGACTCATTAAAATGATTAAGCATTTATTAATAAGTGAATTTCCAAACTCATGTATATATGTATATGGCAAAAGGTAAAGGGAACCATTAGTATCAAAATTGGGAGCAACCCAACTGGTGAAACTAAATCGAACAGCTGAAATTTCTGATTTTTTTTCTTTTCTTCCCATTTTCCAAAAAACACAGGAAACTATGTAGGAAAACAACAGAAATATCTTGTGGCAGTCCACAGAATTCAAGAATAGAATAGTACAAAATCTGGGGCACAGAAGTGACTGCTCAATGTACTGACCTTGTTGGCTTCTTTGGGAAAACCAGAGGCATAACAGAATGGTTGTTGCCTGAGACAAGCTGATGAGTCTCCCATGTTTCTCTGCTACATTCAAACCTCAAAGGATCAGATTTTGCTATAATTATTATAATGTGATCCTTAAAAAGCATTGTCATGTTTTATGTGGCCGTTTTCAATCATTTCAACACCGGTTCAAATTTGAATTTTCAAATAAAAAGTTGAGGAAGTCCATGTGATGCCCAAAAGTAGACAGTTTAAAGTCTTCAACAGATTCAAAAGGAGCATCATAGTGCAATCTATTATAGTTGCAAAAGTGGGGTCCTTCAATCATGTTGGGAGAAGGGTCCTCCATGTCCATTGTTGGGTAGTTTGAATTTGGAGAATCTTTGTTTACCTTAAGCTCAATCAAGGAATTAGGTTCTTTTCTCTTACATGATTGAAGCTAATGAAGACCATTTTAGGTGCAAGAATGTATTCTTAAAAAAAGAAAAAAGAACAAGAATATATAGCATAGTCTCATTGGACATTTCAATTTATTTTTATTGAAAATATATAAGTTAAATACCATTATAAGTTTTGTTAAGTCAGCAATATTCTACAATTTTCAACTTATATTATGTTTTTTCTTTGAGATTTTATACATTTAAAGAAACATAACCAATGTAAGTATTTAATTCATTATTATAAGAATCAAAATTCATGTACTAAAAATATAGAAGTAAAACTTATTCATTTATATTATTGTTGTACTTTTATGATAAAAGTGTAGAATTTGAAGAATAACAAATTTGGACCAGAAAGATAGAAGAATTGCGACGAAATATAAAGGTCAATTAAAACGACTTAAAGTAATAATTGTAAAGTAATGCATATAAGTTTAGAGCAATAAAAGGAAATTAAAAGCAAAGGTAAGAGAATTGCATAAACTTAAATGATCGAAAACGATAAAATGATTTGAATTAAATGAACAAAATTATAAACTAGATCAGAGTTCAATAATTAATTATGAAGTAAAGGAAAGGAACACAAGGATAAAAAATGTTAAAATAAACCAAAAATAGACAAAATAAGTAAAGAAATGCAAGGAAGATAAAGACGATGGTAATATACAAGTAACGTGGGTTAATCTTAAAAAAGCATAGACAGAATAAGTAAAGAAATGCATGGGATAACACGTGAATGTAGGTAACCATGATAGAGGCATTACATAAGTTCATGGTATCTGTGAAATATGTTTTTCACATTAAATATAACTAAGTGTAACAAAACTCATTATCATTACAATAAAAATAACAAAATGTGAACATATTTATAAAGTAAATAAATATATTTAGTATTATAAATCATAATTTTTATTTGTTTTAATATTTACAATTTTTTTATATCATATAAATATATACATATATATATATATATATATATATATATATATATATATATATATATATATATATATATATATATATATATCACATACATAATATCTATAATTTAATACTTAAACTATATTCAATTATAATAATGTTATCTCTCTTTATAACTAATATTTAAAACACACCAAATAGTATCAATCATTCATAAAATATTTCAAATATTACATCTCATCTCATTTTACAAAATATCGTTTCATAATCACATTCACCTAAAGTAAAATTTATCACAAAATCAAATAAAAATCAAACATTATAATTATAAATAAATTAAATTAAAACTAAAACGTTTTTAAACCTTTGAACCATTTAAAGCTCAATTTTTATTTTTATTTTTATTTCTACAAATTTCACCTTACAAAATTTAAAATACAAGCATATTTTACAAAAACAAGTTTCAATTTCTTCTTACGCATAAATCCTATCACCTGTAAAAATTTAAAATTTTCCACTCAAACTACAATTGAATGTAACATCATCAATTGCAAATATTTTCCAAATCCTAATATCACAAACTTAGTACCTATCCAATGTCAATATTTACTATCCAACAAAACTAAATCAAAATATTGTAACAAATCACCAATTTGAAGTCTTCAGCCTTAAAACATAAATTAGAATGAAGTTTTTTTTTTTATCTTAGATCTTCTTTTACTTGAAATGGGATGAATTGAACTTTAGAAGATTTTAAAACTAGAGAATTAATTTTCTTTGAATAAAGATAAATTACATGTTATAGGACATACTATATCTAAATATTTCCTAGCAACAATTACAACATCAAGAAGAGAATAACACACTTTACTTATACTATGTCATCTTTCATTGAAAGTTACATCCAATTATCCAATCAAACTAATTGAGCTTTTCCACTAACTTTCAAGTTTAGTACATGGATACTTCCTTACAAACAAGTAAGAAGGACACATACATATTAGTCTTGAACCCTACAAGATCAAATAAGCCTTTATGCAAATCCTACCACAAGGCTACCCTAAATTTTTCAATCAAGAACTACAATTTTGACAGTTCTACTTAAGATATCAACCTAATCCTACTAACCAGTCAATACTCGTACAAATAGAAATTTGCAGATAATAATTTATAAACAAAATTATAGTATGTATAACCCAATGAATTACTTCTATGACCAAAATTTTCTCACTTAGAAAGAATTATTTCCACAGTCAAACAAAGAGTATTGTATTTTGTGAAAAGTCTCTTATAAATTATTAAAAATTTGTTTTACTCAATGTAATCTTGTTGTTAAAAAAACTTTGAAAGTGTTGTACTTATAGTGCATTTTGTTTTAACAAAATAAGTATTAGGTTGATTCTATTATAACTGATATAATTCATTTTATGAAAATTAATACTCGTGTATATACTCCAAAGTTTAATCTATTTATTGAAATAATTTCAAACGAGAAAGAGACTAGTCACTTACATTTTATATGATCTTATAAGAGATATTGTATAATTTCTCCTTTTGTTGACATTATCAAATCTCATACATAAGTATTAGGAGCAAACTCCTCAAAGTGAGAGCACTGGATAATAATATTGATTAATTGGTGATGGCTTGTCAAATGTTAGATCAACTTATGATATCAATTTACCTTTTATAGATTTTCCGATGACTAGGTAGGCTAATTGGTATTAGACCATTTGATCTGGGTTGATTATTCTTCAATCTTCCCTTATTTCATAATGATAACAAAGACCTAAAAATAAACACGCAAACACAATCATTTTTCTTATCATGATCAAATCTAAGATTTAGAATATCCATGCAAAATGTTTTATTAATAAACATAGAGATACATTTAAATATAAGATAAAACAACCATCTTTGTTTATCAAATAGTATCTCTACAAGTTTATTAATGAATATATTTTATCTATCTTTTTATTCCTTATTTTTTCAATCCACTTCAGCAAAGACTAATTCTATTGAGCCATTTTTTAGATTTATTATTTTTTACTATTTATTATATTGTTTAGATTTATTATAACCCCCTCCCTTTTATCTTTTATATTATATCTTTTTTATCTATCTTTTTATTCCTTATTTTTTCAATCCACTTGGCAAAGACCAATTCTATTGAGCCATTTTTTAGATTTATTAATTTTTATCATTTATTATAATTTTTAGAAGTTTGAATCATTACCAAATTAAATGTTTACCAGTACCTTAGAGTTGGAAACTGATACTCCAACCACTAAACTACTAGAATTTTTCGATAATAACTTACAAATAAATTATATTTATACACAAATAAATATATATCCGTGTAAATATATAAATATAAAATATATAAATACAAATATATTTATATATTTTGATATATTTATATGTTGAATGTGAGGGCACACTCGAAGGTGAAAGTGTGTATCGATTGATTTTCAAAATTTGATGTCAAATTTGTAAGCGAGTCTCTTTATATGTGTTTGTAATTTAATGACGAGAATATAATCTTTATAATTTATTTATATAATGATATAAAATAAATTTGGGAAATGTGTCATTCGCTCAAGCAAAATTTGGTATTTTTCGCTCAAGCGATAGTCAATTCCGCTTTCACTCTCGAGCGCGCTCTCACATCAACATATAAATATATCAAAATATATAAATATATTTGTATTTATATATTTTATATTTATATATTTACACGGATATATATTTATTTGTATATAAATATAATTTATTTATAAGTTTTTATTAGAAAATCTTAATAGCTTAGTGGTTGAAATATCAATCTTCAACTCTAAGATACTAGGTTTGAATTACGCCAATGACAAGATTTTACAAATTTTAGTACATTTTAGAGCTATAGTTTTATTATTTTCCTTTAGCTTTTCAACATCAAAACTCTTAAAATCCCCCTTTCATAACTCTTTTACAATTGAAAACTATATTATGTTTCATCAATGCTCCTCAAGAATATGATTTAAGTTTTCCCTAGTTACTACATATTTTTCTTTGTATTGAATTATTTGAATTAACTTAATATTGAATTGTGCTACACACATTTCATGATGGTTCTCTTAAGTAGTAGCAAGATCGTCTATCATTTAAAGCATTTATTGTTCAAAATAAGAGAATGAGGATTGTTCTTCAAAATCTCGAATGTCTATTGGTTTTGGTTCATTTATAAGTGAATTTTTTGCAAACCATCTAGGATCATCTTCTTTTTCCAAAGAGATGTTCTCTTGGCATAATTCATTCTTCATTGGCTTTCGGATACCCCATCTTATGCAAACATTGTATTTGACATGTGGTTGTTATTCTTGTTATGCCAAAGATTTCACTAGTAGTATTTTCCTAAAAGTAATACATAATCTTTAACACGAAAATGACATATGGTAATGGAGTATGGTGCCCTTTTGGATATAAGTGAATCATCCTTGATGACATATACCTAGTTGATTTTAGTCCCCATCTTAAGACCATATAGAAGAACTAGATGGTCCTTAGTGAGGACAATATGATTTCTCCTCATACAATGACGGATCTTGACCATTGATCTTGGGGGCAAATAATATATTATTAATAAATAATAAATAAATATAAAAGGAAGAAAGAATATGAAATGGTGAAAAGATAAAATTATAGATATATACTTAAATATATTAAATGATCATTAAGTTCAGGAAACAAAATCATAAATTATATGAGAGTTACAAAGCTGAAGAGAATTGAGAGGATAAAATTGTAAATATACAAGTAAATATATTAAATGTTCATTATGTTTGGGGGGACCAAAATCATAAATTACATGGGAGTTACAAAACTTTGGGAGGGGTCACGATCCCCTTCAGCTCCAAAGAAAATCGTCACTGTCCCCATAGGCTTTAGCTATCAAGAAATGATAAATGCTAGAATCTTGTCTTCTAGCATCGCATTCATTCACCTTGAATCTGACTATTTTTAGTTATGGAATCCTCATACAACTCTTGTAGATTTAAGCGTTTGTTAAAGCTCTCAACTACTTCAATGTCCTCTTAACATACCTTTAAGTCTTTCTTTATCATCTTAGGCAACCTCCTCTAGAGGGTAGAGGTTCCCAAGATGTCAACACCCTTCATCTTGGATACAAGTACATTTTCATTGACTTTGATGTTGGTGTAGACCACCTTCACTAGTTCTAGATAGAATTTTCCTTCCAGTTCATTGAACTTTTGTAGTCATTGTTCATTGAGAGCATTCTCAATATTTTGAAATCCTTCCTCTTTAAGCCATTGGAACAACAATCTTCTCGGTAAGCTTATGATTCCTCTGTACATCTATCCCGTGAACTTGTTAATCTTGTCCAAATCACTTTTGAAATAGCCTTCAATAGTCCTAAAATTGTCATTAGATAAGAAATGTGAGGCAATCTAGTTATCCACCATGGAGTGAGTTTGGTATGAAAGATGGGAAAAGCGCACACACACACGTACACTCTTTTCTTTTTTTTTTTCTTTAATTATGTATGAAAAACAATTATATGACTTTTTTTTCTTTAGCATTGTGCCTCACCGATAAAAAATGGGCATAGGAATTAATTTCTTTTTCATATTCTTTAACAATTACATATTTACACCTTTAATTATTATTTAACCAATCCATTTTTCTCACAAAGTAATTAACTATGGCAGGCACTCCCCCTTAAAGAGTAAGTGTGATATTTTATAAAAAAAATATTTTAATCCACTTATTAATTGTTTTATTTATTATCCTCCATGTGAGGATGTCAGATATGGATTATATAACACCTGGTCTAATTCAACACTATTGGTTCAAGCCGAATTGAGTTAAAATGAATTTAAAATTTTCAATTGTGAATCAAAATATTAAAAAGCAAAATAAATAAGTATGTCGAACTCGTAAAATTGGATTGTAAAATTTTATAATGACCAAATTGTGAATGGAGTAAAAAATTAACATATTTTTGAGTCAATCTGTGGTGAATCTATCAGGTGAGCCGATTCATTTTTACACTCTAATGACTGCAAAAATATAACTTTATTGTTTGCAGTGATATGATAATAATTTTAGAATAATCGGTGATATAACACCATTTTATTACAAGTCCCTTACAAGTATTGTGAGGGATTAAATGTTACATCAATGATTAAAAGAATGTCACAATTCACTACTTATCAAATGCCTTTGCTGCAGGACAACCCAGTATAACACCAATGTGTTTGAACATCGAAGGTGCAGGATTTGAGTCTCTCATTCTATGTTGCAATTATTTTGATGATTTTTGGGTACAAAATAGTACAAGCACCCTCAAACCTATTCAAATGAAGGTCCTTGATCGTTCATATTATCATGCTAGATGGGAATGAAGCCGAAATCTCAGATGTAATATAACTTGTATCCTTCAATTTATGATCACTTCACTGCAGGGTAGTCGTGAATTCTTTACCTACAGGCTTTACACCATAAGAATAACAGAAGCAAAATGTTCAAATAGGCATGTCGAGCCACGGCAGTGTAAATCATGTCCCCATCTATCCTACTTACAAGTTTCTTCTCCGAGTTCTATGGTGTTTCATTTTCATTCCTTTTCTTTTATGACCAGAATGAACCAAAAAAACTATGACCAAGAAACCAAGTACAGAAAAAGCACATAAAAATAGCACCCAGAAGAACCTGAAGGAACTTGGTATCCCTGTCCCATCTTTTTGAACACTAGCCATTTCCTCAGAATCATTTGCTGACATACGATTTTCCTTTGAGTCAAAATTTTTACTGAAATTGCCCAATTTCCTAGAGATTTCGCTTTCCTCCGTGGCGTTTAATTTGGATATGGAACCATCTTTGGGGCAGTTCATTCTTTCATGATGCAGATGCAATGCTTCATTTAGAGTCTTCACACATTCTATACTGAGAGAATCTCGCTGTAAATTGTCCTCATCATTGTGATCAAGTGTTGATGGGTCTGGTGGTTCTGGAAACTTGGCCCAGCATCTGTTAACCATGTCAACTTCTCGCCACTCTGCCTTGTCAAAACTCCAATTCCCAACTTTGAATTCTAATCCATAGTGAAAAACTCTATATTTGATTCCTGGTTCAGGAATATATCCTGGGTATATCATAATCTCTCTGTTTATAGTATGCCTCAATTTCAACTGCATCAACAGCACTACAGGTTATACAGTGAAACCTGTTCATAAATTAAAGAGAGTATGATGGGGGATGAAATTGGATGGTAATTTCAATCCACAATTAGGTAAAGTTCAGAAAGGAAGACATGTCCAAATTATGCATAAAATTTCAATAGACAGCATTTCGAATTAGATGAACAGGTAAGTTGAATATGAATTGTGAAAATTTGAAAACAAAATACCTCTGCTGCACCGAATGAGTAACCATACATCTCGCTAATCCAACCAGATTCATATATGTCTCCTGTTATATTTCTGGCATAATGAACTCTATCAGCCCGAACTTCCTCAGTTTTATGCAACCATAGTAAAGCAAATTTCCTCAAATCATCCATATGCATGATGATTACACCACCAACTTTGTCACAAGCCTCAGGATGGCTTGTATGCAATTTTGCAAGCTCGTTGTCACAGCCAATAAGGTAGCTAACATGTAAAGAATAAAAATAGAAACAACAAATGAATCATCATAATACTGCAAATGCAAGGCCAATACAAAACCCAGAAATACAACAACATCCACAATACATTGATGTCGACAACGGTAATTGGTTATACAATGATAAATTTAATTCACCAAGCTTACTCATAGGGAGTGGAAACAGGTTTTCCGCGTGCAGCTTTGAATTCCCATGGGGTAATTGGGCCTCTCATTATCATATCAGCGTCTAGAATCACTACGAATTCAGCATCAATATTTGCATGATTGAGCCAGTGCAGAACTGCAGCTGGTTTGTTAATTGCTGGATACCTGATATAAAACAGAGAAATTCATTTCTTTAACTAAAGTCTAATAATTCATCTAAATAAACATCTAAAATTGAGAAGATCTCAATAATTGTGCCTTTATTGTAGTGGAGCAAGACATTTATATACCATTTCAACAGGCATCATCAAACACAAGACAAAGATGAGAGTAGTAGATTGTGACTCAAATGTGAGACAATGAGTAATTCTTATTGCAACTAATGAATCTCTGAACTAGTATCAATATCAATCAATGTCATACAATTCAGAGATCAAGGAGACAGGTAATACAGAGAAGTTCAGAGCAGAACTCTCCCCTTCCCCAGGTATAAGAGACCTGCCCCCCCCCCCCCCAATCTCTCAAAAACAATCAATAACCTACAATTAGTCTCCCTAACTGCCTTATAACTACTCTCTTCACTCAGTGACCTACTAAATAGTTACTGCAGTAATTGTTATTTCATTGCTACAGCTTATATAAACAAATGAATTTTGATGGAAGCCTGCCAGTGAGTACTTTTACAGATTAAATACATAAATGAAGTTTGATGGAAGTCCCACCAGACACAGATGGACTAAACCCAGATGCTTACTGCACTACATATTGCATAATAAGCACATACAGCTCTTCTAGACGTTGGGTCTAGAAAGTTTCACTTGTTTTAATTTTGAAATAAAGTTGAGGTGATACATCTCTCATCATCTAATTCCAATGTCAGCAAGAACACAGTTTACACTCGAAATAAAAATCAGGGATAAAAAAGAAATTGGAAAAGAAAATTCAACAAATGAAGATAACAAGTTTGACCACAACAAATTTTAGTTTCGGATGAAATCTTAATTTTAAGATCGGGACTAGCTCATCAAGATGAAATGCTTTTAGCTAAACTAGTTTTAAAATCTTCTTCAAAAACTGAAAGAGATGCTGTGATGGTTAGTCCTTTGCACATTACATGCTTGACTTCATAACCACTTTTCTTGATTGTTATGTCCCAAATGACAATGCAGAAATAGAAAGTAACTAAGGAGACAAACATGATACAATTGAAATACACACAGAATTACCAATCGCCTGTTAATGGATGTTGACTCATAGAAGGGACATAATGGGTGGGAGCCAAGTTGTGGCCTTTATATAGCTTTAAGTCTGCATCAGAACAGCTGAGAAGTCTAGTGATATTTCCTGGCTGTCCACTTAAACGGAAACTGTACATAAGTCCTACAGTCTGCCAGTCAAAGTATGGGGTGCATTCAGTAGAAAAAACAGTATGGATTTTAGGATATGGCCTGGTAGCATCATGATCGATATGTTTTTGTACTGTATCCTCCATCACTTGTAGAGTAGCAGGAGTTACTATTTTTGGTTTAGTTAGTTCAGCGAAGGCTCTGCTTTTTAAAAAGTTCACATATTTAGACCACACTGGTTTAGGGCAGCCGTTAGCTGCATGATGCAACAGAAGAGCTTCATTTAGAATGTTTACGCACTCAATACTTAAAAATAGTCCTCGCCGTAGATTAGGATCTATTTCCAACTGCATTACCTACAATAAGAAATTTTCAAATTTCAATAAAACTTGAAAGAAAAACCTGATGTATGATGCATTCAGTATAAGAACTAAAACATTAGGCTCAAAATGCTGAGTCTCATAAATACACATCAAAGGAATATTTATGCTTCTTTACAAACTATGATACAAGTATGCCACTGGAATAAGAACCTGTTCTCTAAAAGACACAATATAATATGTTGGTTTACATACCTCCCTGGGATAAGGAGGTTGAGGAAAGAGCCGGCCACAGTTATAAACAATTTCATCCTCATCATGGTCAGCCTTACTGAATGACCAATTTCCTACCCTAAATGGCAGCCCATAATGAAGAAGAATTGGCTCAACTCCCTCCCGGGGAGCATAACCTGGGTAGATCATCAAGTTATCATTGATCTTGTGTCTAAGTCCAACCTGTGAACAGAAGAAGGAAACCCAAATGAAAAGAGTGAAAGAAGGATGAAAGCAAAACAAATTGTGAAATGTAAATAGTACAATAACGTGCTTGATAATTAGGTTCATGGCAATGTACAGAATATAAAAACATTTTAAGAGGGTAAACTCACTTCTGCTGCACCAAAAGAGTATCCATACATCTCACTAATCCATCCTTTTTCATATATGTCACCAGTTATGTTTACTCCCCAGTGAGCCCTATCTTGGCGTACTTCTTCTGTTTTTGAAAGCCACATAGGTGCTAAAGATCGCAGGTCATCTATATGCATTGCCAAAAGTCCACCAACTTTGTCACAAAGTTCTGGGTGTTTTGTGTGCAGTTGAGCCAATATATTGTCACAACCTCTTAAGTACCTAGAGAAGGAATTTTGTTTTATGGCAAGTTTTAATAGTGATCTAGCGATATAAACACTGAATAAACAATACAACATATCTCTACTATTCCAAGAAATTCAGACGAGTTTCAAAAATTGATTCAAAGTCAAGAAACAAAATTTCTCTAGTTTGGATTTTAGTAAAGTTCATTCTTTCAAATTTATCATTACATGTCTTAAACCCTCTCTCTATCTTCCCAAAACATATGTCCAATGAAAACATTAAGATCAAGATAAAGCAAAAAAGCTTAGGTACTCAAAGCTTCTATATTCTTATAATCTACCCATTGCCATAAATGAAGCTACACTAGCCCAATTACGTCCTTCCATTGGGTGAATATCTACTTAACACTACAAAAAGAAGTAACTAAAATATTTAAGATATTAGTGAATACCCATAGTATGCTGCAACAGGTCTTCCTTTCTCTGCACCAAGTTTCCAAGGTACAATTCGCCCGCGGATTATCATGTCCGCATCAAGTATGATAACCCAGTCAATATTTTCTGCATCTTTACTATGTTTGAGCCAATGTAAAACCCCAGCAGGTTTGTTTATTGCAGGGTACCTGCAGAGTAGACAGAATCTATATCTTATGCTCCCTATTATGGAAAAGGGATGTCACTAATTCACTTCTGCAATATGGTAGAGATCAACCACTTACACAATACAGAAGTACTCGCAGTCTATTATTAAACCCCCCCCAAAAAAAAAAGAGAGAGAGAGAGAGGAAGAAGCACCGTACTATTCAACTAGCACCCAACATCTTGGTTGCCTACTCCAAAACAGATCAGTTAAGTAAAAGACACTCAATCAAACCAATGCACATAAGTTTCAATAACCAACTGATGTAAACACAAGGCATACACATTCACGGGAGTATATTAGCTAGCACAGAAACACACAATTTTTTGCAAGGATTAACATCAACACAATCACAAAGCAAGGCATCATGCATTTAGCAAAACTGTACCACCAGAGTGGTTGTAGCTAACATGGGACAATCAGAAGCAGTGCCAATGATAGCAAATCACTTCTCAATAAAACCACAATACATAACCAATCTACTCTTTTTTATCCCAAACTAAACTCCTGAAGCTGATTCAACTTCTTGCAAACAATGATTTACCAGTCGCCAGTTCTAGGGTGTTTGCTCATTGAGGGCACCTCAAAAGTGGGAGCCAAATGCATCCCTCTGTAAGTTTTCTTCTGCTCCTCAGTACAACTGAGAAGACGCGTAATGTGTCCCGGTTGCTTCGCCTTTCTAAAACTGTGCATTAGTCCAACCGTTTGCCAGTCAAAGTAGTTCTGACACTCCACAGAGAAGAGGGTCTGAATCCTCCAAGGAGCTTTTTGAGCTGCTTTCACCTTCTCCACAGTGCAAATGGCCAGACCCAGCATTAACAACGACAACAAAATTGAAATTTTCTCCATCGTGGATCATCTGAAAAGTGAGATGTGAACTGGGTGTTCTCTAATTTTGGGAACAAGATCTGAATTCCGTGACTTTAATGGTTGCTATACCCAAGAGAGCCTGTTCGAATGCGAAGTCAAAGTTGGAGTTTTGTGGTAAATGCTTTTAGTTGACGAAGATGTTACATTTAACGAGGACACAATCTATTGCCCTGAAATAGGATGACCCAAAACTAATATTTTGATATATATATATATATATATATATATATAGTTTTCTTTGCAAGAAAAATAAAACTAAAATGTATGCATTTTACTCATTTCTTAAATATCTAACAGTAAGTCCTAAGAAAAAGTTGAAAAAAATAATAGCGTTTGAAGTTTAATAGATATTAAAATAAGTGATTATTAAAAATTTATTTTTAAAATTTCTTATTAAATTAATTTTAATATATGTATATATATAAATAAAATAATTTTATTTTTATTTTTATTTAAAAAATAATTATTATTCTATAAAATAAATGTACATAGACTAATCTAAGCATATATATATATATATATATATATATATATATATATATATCATAAAATAAATAAACCAAACTAAAATAAACCTGATATAATTTAAAGCATAAATATTTTACTTAAATTAACCTATTTTTAGAACACAGCATATTATAATGACTTAGTTCGTTCATATTTAATTGTGCTGTTAACTGTGGGACAGTGCAATGCGAACATTATTCCATCGTGTAGCTCATGTTCCTTCTTATTTCCTTTATCTTCATTGCACAAAGATTCATGCATGTAGATACATTAAAAGTGAGGTTGTGTCATCAATAATTTTCAGTGCTTGGCACGACTCCTTCACAATCATCTTAAACCAAATACCCAATAAATAAATTATTTCTAAAGCAATCGTACATCTTAAAGTTGCACCCACACATCAATTTATCCGACAAGTTTAATTATTTAAGGAGTTTCAGTGCATATATTATATTAATAATTATATATTTTTCACAGGATATTAACTTAATTATATGATAACGGCACCTAACGCTACTTTCCTCACCATAAACCATCATTACGATTTGTGCGGGGAGAAAAACTGTTAAATAACAACACTTAATTAACAATCACAATTAAAAAATAACTACTACAAAAATTGAAGTTTATAATCATATATAAATAGTTGAAATTATAAGTTAACTAAAAGTTACATGATTTCTGAAAATATTGTTGTGTACATTCATTTTTAAAACTTTGACCGCTTAAATATGATTTTATGATTAATATATAATATATTACACATTTATTTTATCTATGATTTATTGTTTAAAAACAATACTATTCTATACTTAACATGGTTAAATACTGACCTTCTTTTTTATTGTGTACCTATGAATAGATAATAAAAAGTTAAAAGTTAAAAAAAAAAAAAAAAATATATATATATATATATATATATATATATATATATATATATATTCCAATCATGTATTACATCATTTAACGATCAATTTTCATGTTATAAAAAAAATAATCTATGCAATAATTATTTTAAAAATTATATTTAAAATGTTATTTAATGAATTGACCATCTATAAATTTTATATTAACAATATATTAAAACTGAACTAAATTTGTTTTAAGAAATATTTATAATATAAAAAATAATAACTATTTAATATATATTTTCAATAATTTAAATTATTTAATTAGATGTGTTAGCTTTTTTTATATATAACCTGCAAATAATCTGCAACTTCATATTTTGTATTTAACTATTTTTTTCTTGATTTAACACATTATAAAATAAAGTGGTATATTTTGTGTGACTCTTATTTCAAGTAATAAATCAAATTATGATTAAGAAATACAAGTGTGGAATTATTTGTGCTTATCATTTTTATTGACGTTTCACCACTAAGATTTCAACTCTTAAAAATATTACCTGTGAAATAAAACTTTAGAACCCTTCAGGATGATGACGATGATGAATGTGAGTGACTTTTGATAAAGGAGACAAGAAAAAGCGATTATTTGATCAACCCTGCAGCCTTGTGCCCCACATGTGGTGGACTGAAGATATTGTTTAGAAGCTCTTTCAAAGCAATATATGGAACATGATTTGGACTTAACTCCAATTCACCAATATCATGTTAAATTTCTGTTTATAATCAATTAGCAATAAGAGACACATTCTAAAACTTGAGACAGATTGGAAAAACAAATTCACATTCAACATGAAATCAACATCACATTTAGTTTCATCAGTGCAGCTGAAAACAAGAAAATGCAAGGATAAAGTTGCATTAGTATACTCTACAATTAAACTAAACATTTTATTGCTCTATAGATTGTAAAAGTAGGGACACTTTATGTAAGTTGGTTATGCTTATTTATTCCCTATTTTCCGAGAGGAAAATCTCTTGATCAAGAGGGTTGAAACCATCCCATGAGAGAATGGAATCCATACTATCAACCCATTTCTGTAACGAGTTTTCCTGTATGCAAGAGGATTCATCCATAGAAAGGTGACTATTGTTATCCATAGAAACAGATGAACTGCATAAAGAATTAGTACTACTAGTATTGATTTCTTGACTCATCCATGATCCCAAGTCCAACTGTGAGCATAGGATTTCAAAATTGTTTAAAAGTTCAGAGGTTTCATCCCATGTCATCTTGTTTTCTTCTCTTTCCCCTTCTGTTTTTGTAATTTCTTTGGGGCCATCACTCCCCACATTTTCTTCAGACCCTCCGGAAATAGAAGCCTGTGGATAATTGGTATTATTTTTGCCCTCATCGGTATTTTTCTTTGACTCGGTTGGCCTGTGTGTCACAGGGTCCAAACCAAGAAGTTTGAGCCTTTTCTTGATTCTTGTGTTCCAATGGTTCTTGATTTCATTGTCTGTCCTCCCAGGAAAATGTGAAGCAATCTTAGACCATCTGAAAATATGCTTTACTGTGTTAGAACCTATATGCATGCATCCAATGACATCGGCTTAGATATTCTAATCCTAGGGTCATATTTTTCTGGCTTAATGATAATTCAGAAACACATGAAGTACCTGTTACCAAGAAGTGAATGTAGTTCTATTATTTGATCCTCTTCCATTTCTGTGAAGCCACCTCTCTTGAGGTCTGGCCTCAGATAATTAATCCATCTGAGTCTGCAACTCTTTCCACATCTCAGAAGACCTTCACCACCAAGCAAAATGCACCAAATGCAAAGTAATCAACCATGGAGCATGCAAAAACACAGCTTTTAATAAATTAATTAATTACCTGCTAATTTAGGAACCGTTCTCCAGCAATGGATGCCATTGTTGAGAATAAAGTTCATGAGCTTGTGATCCTCTTCAATAGTCCAGGGACCTCTCTTCAAACCAACCTTATCACAACAAGGTTGTCTTCCCATTTGTAAGTTTTCCTCAGCTTCAAAAAAATATCGATCCCTTGATAGTTATTAACAAGTGTGAAAACTTGGAAGCATGACACTTAAAAAGGAGCTTGAGATTGAAGCAAAGATGCTGCCAGTTCATTCAAACATTAAAAAAAGGCATGATGTCCAAAGAGGGGGGAGATAAATGATTGGTCGGAAAGCACTTTGAGTTGAAAGCTAGAAAAGCATGGAAGGGGTTGTGATAATAAAATGGTGGTCACCACTCACCACCTTTGTTGAGACAAAAAGAAAGAGTCCACTTAACCATAAAAGCTTCTATGTACACCAAAACGTGAGAAAAAGAACACCCGTTGACTAATTTTATTAATTGTTTGGCTCCAAAATCTTCTCCTATTTGTACTAGTCCATGTATGTTGTAGCCTGCCATAAAGATATTGAGTTTGATTGGGATTCCATGGACCCCAGAAAGCTTGCCAGCTCTGTCATTGTAGGCAAACCTCATTTCTTCTTTCGCTTCGTAGATGCTTTCCCCATTATGCCCAAGTTCCCCAAAATTCCACCCGTGGATTCATTTGAGAACTACTTTATGACTTAGTGGTTAATACGACACAGCAAAACTCTTTAGTAATCTTTTTCTCAATATTTATATTCAACTTGGAAAAGGATATTATCATATGTGTAATTATATATATATATATATATATATATATATATATATATATATATATATATATATATATATATATATATATATATATATATATAAACCATATTTTTTTAAGTGACATCATTCGAAAGTACTTAAAGAGTTAATGGTGAAAGAGAAAATAACGTACCAATTGTACTGTTTGTTCGGGACACAAGTGCCAAATGGCTGATGAGCTTTTAATGATGGTTTTGGCAAGAAATAAGAGAATCATGAAGGACCTTAAAATGTGTAAAAGAGAACTTTGGGTCCTTCTTAAAACACACAGAAAGAAAACATTAGAATTAATAAATTCAGAACCACACTTTACGTCGTTAGGACCACAAAGCATGATAGCACCACAAAACTTAAAATAAATAATAAGACAACAAATTTTAAAAATGGAAGATGATATATTAATAGGTGTAAGCTAAAAACTATAAATACAGAGAGAAGTGTGGATCGAAATATTTTTAAGATGTGTTAAAGAAAAAATTTAAGTAGGATGTGCCAATTGTTTAATTGCAAATTAACATATATAATAAACTGATAATTTTTATAATAATTATCTAATACTCTAGATTTAAAAAAACTTAGAACTAATTGAAAGAATAAAACCTTTATTCAGTGCTAAATATTAATCATACAAGTTAATGAACAGTTAACGTTCAACGAAACTCGGTCGTCGAACCACTTTGTTTAACTGGGGTCAGTAATATCTGAAATTCAACGTCATGCCAGTGTTCATAAGAAAATATAAAATGCTTTATGAGTTGAAATGATGATGGAGAAAGACGTGCACCCGGTGCGAACGGAACATTTGTGTTGTTTGAAGAGTCAAAGAAGTATTAGAGGTTCACTTTTTTCATTTAACTTCATAGAGCAAGCATGGTTGAGAAGGTGGAAATCGTGGTGTGAAACAGAGTGTGTCAAATAGTAGCCACCAGCATCCACGGTCCGAAATAGCGGCACATGGTTATCGACAAAGAGTTTCAAGATTTTGTGTATTGAATCGTGACGGAAATAACTGCGAAAATTGTCACATTGTACAATGAGTTTTTAATTACTACGATAGAAAGACATATAATTATAAGATATTTTTATCAAAATAATTATTCCGTTGTATATGTAAAAATATATTTGAAAGAACTACAATTTATGATTTTAATTACATTTTTAGTTTCAACTATATAACCTTTATATTATATATATATATATATATATATATATATATATATATATATATATATCTACTATATTAATTAACATATTATCTTCAAAAATATTATCAACCAATTGAAAAAAGAAAAATAACATAATGTTAAATAAATGTCATATTTTCATAAATTAGTTAGTGTAATTGTTTAAATATTTTTTAAGTGTATATATAACACTAGAAATATAATACTAAGAGGATAAGCATGCCCATCTCAACCTAAAAGATTATTAGCATTTTCGTAGTCATTTTTGTGTCTTCCACTATGATTTCTAATCAGGGAATACTAAAGATCATAGTTGGATATAATAATTACTAGGATACGTTATAAGAGATGTAATGAATATAATATATGATAGACACTTCTAGATTAAAGAAAGAAAGTTCACTATAAAAAATTCATTAATTAAAAGAAAAAAATATTTAAGCAATATATAAATTAATTTATACACTATCTTAGAAATTGAGGATGAATAATCTTTAAGTTATGTTTTAATTTTATATTGAATAGGTTTTTGAATCAAATCAAATTTTTAAATTAGAGATCAAGGTGTTAGATACATTGAATTTAAATTTTAATTTGATCTCTAATTATATTACTGATAAATTTTTAAAGTTATTAGAGACTTAAGTTTTAGGTTTATCAACTCCTTAAAAAGATTGGTCGAAATTCAACGTCCAAATACACCACATGCAAGTCGCATATGTGTCATTCTTGGTGGGCTTAGTGAATTCGCAGCAAGCAAAATGAACTATAACAAAAGTTTATAGAGAGGTTTGCATAAGATTTTATGAAAATATATGGTACTTAAATCCCAAAGTAGAATTGCATTCAAATTTAAAAACTTTGACTTACATTCACTACCAACCAATAATATATACACAAGATTATAAAATAATAATGTGTTCATTCATCTCCCAATAGCAGAAATACAAATAAGAAAGAAGGGTATGGGTCATGAACACCTTGTTGGGTTCATGCACTGAAATATTCCACATAATCTGTCTCTGGTACGATGGTCTCAAATTAGCAAACATGCTAGAAAAATTCAAGTTTGCCATTTCTAAAGTGGGTGGAGGGGACGGAGTTGTTATATACATGGGATGGGATGAAAAGATATTGAATTTAGTAAAAAGATAATTAACCTCTTATACGTGACAAAGTAAAGTTAAAACTTTTATTTGAAAACGTGGTTATGATTAGTTATGATTAATTACTACTAAAATTAATTTGAATAACAATGATTTCAAAAGAAGGTTGCTTAAAATAAATTCTCCAACAATTGATAATAATAATAAGTGTTAGAGAAACCTAGCTATGTGACTAACCTAAATTCTGCTTTTCAAACTTTTATTTTGGAAATTGGCTCATATTAATGAAATATATTCCCTCAAAATTCTTACAGAATTTTATATTTTTACAAGAATTGACCAGGAACGAGAAGAATTCAATCAAGAACTCAACTCATGTATTAATCAATAAGAATTATTCGAAACTAGCTAGCATTTTATTAACTATTCAATAACTTCAAAGTAGACTTTTGAATCAATAAAATCTGTTTTCAAATAAAGTAGTTGTAAACCTTAGATATTGAAAATTTACGACAGATGGACCTAACTTCAATCAATTAATTATATTAATAGGAAAAGGATTTTAAATATCAAACTGCGTATTCTAAAACAATATTCAATAAGCTTTTGAACCCTATATATTATATAATTTTTAGATCTCATTTTATGTTTAAAATGAATTTTTATTCCAGAGTAAATGATATAAAATAATATAGACCATTCAAGTCAACCTTTTATTGCATCTAAATATTTATTTTTAGCAAATATTCTTATCCACCTAAGTTTAGTTTTTTTTTTTAATTAGACTTACTTCAAATTTTTTTAATCTATTAAAATCTCACGTCATTAATTTATAATATAATTAGTGTACAAACCTCATTTTATTAATCAGATTTATAAAATTAAATTTGACAGTTCTTTATCTCTAATATGATATCATAATCTAAGACTTATATTGACATATTTCTTTACTTTTCAGGTTATTATTGAAACACTTTTTAATATTTAGGTTTACGTTGATATTCATCTTTAAAGAAATGTGGTTAGAAATCTCACTTTAAAAGAAAATATAACCAATTTATAATATTTATAAATTAATTTTATAAGATTGAGCTAGACACAAATTTTTTTATAGAATCATTAAAAAAGTTGAGTAGAAAAAATTGTAAGGACATATGCTTCTACTATTTTTAAATTTTTTTCAAATTATATGAAAAACTTGTACGTTTACCATATACATTATTCAACCACCTCCTACTTGTATTTGAATTGTCATTATAACTTATAACTTGACATCAAGTTTACATATTTGACAATACAAGGAAAGGAACCTACTTATGTATAGTTCATTTTTGTAAATAACTGATGTTCTTTTTAAAAAAGTTGACCGATACTCAATAAATTGTATTTTATGACTGGAACATAAAATACATTCAAAATTATTGTAGATTTGTCATTTATTTTTTTATCATTATTCTTCATTTTTCTTCCCAACTCACTATCAAATTATCTACAAATCTCACCTTCAATTTCATATTTTCATCTAGATCGACAAACCAACTTTTCTGAAATGATATATGATTCGAACAGTCAGTATCTAAATACTAAGATTCACCGAAGATTTTTACTGGTTTCGACGTGGTGACCATTAACAACATTCATTCTCCGAGTCTTCTTTTTATTGAACATTTGTTTCTTTCTATTTGCTCTAACAGTCAATAGCATAATAATCATATGTATAATAGTTGTAACATTGTACATTCTTCTTACACACACCAAATCTAGATTTATCACTTCTTTATTTTGAGTTTATGCTTTTACCACCTCTCAATTGTGAAGAACTTTCATATTTCCCTTCTGAGTTTTGTCTACCATTATTTCTATATCTTCATTCTTCTCGACCTCTCTTATTCAATTTTTCTCTATTATCTTTATTCTTTTGTTTTGTCAACAACGTCTATTTTACGTTGGACTTTTCTTCTGCTCTCTCACGTACTCATTGTTCGTGAGCCTCTAATGACCCTTGTAGTTCATTAACTTTCAACAAATTGAGATCCTTAAACTATTCAATAGTTACAGAAATTATGTTGAACCTAATACTAAGGGTTCTCGGTACTTTCTCCACTACTGCACTTTCTTTCAAGTTATCACCACATAACTTTATCAAGTTTGTGATCGATAATAATCTTGCAAAGTATTATTGGATAGTTTATTGTATCCCTATCTGCAACAACTCATACTGATGATGTAAGGTTTGAAGTCGCACCATCTTTAACCTCTTTCCACCTGCATAATTTTACGTCAGTATATTCAACACTTCTTTTGCCAAGTTTACCAATGAATTCCTCTCAAAGTTGATTTCATCAACATGCTATTGAATGTAAAACATAGCTTTAACCACGTTTCTTTTCCTCTCAAAACATTGCGCGTTGTATCTTGGTGGGGTTCTTCGTAGCCCATCATATTCATTAATAAAAAATGGTTTTCATCTTCACATGTCAACTATCATAACTATTCAAATTTTTGTTATAGAGCACTAACATGTTGTCATGCAACCAGTTCCTACAATCTGATTTTTTTTTTCTTTTTTCTTCTTCTTTCTAGATTTTGAAGATATTGATATCATTGTTAGTGAAAAAGGGATAAAAACAAATATAAAAAGAGATATTAAGATAGGTATTGAAAAGGAACTATATATTCTAATTTATACAATTAAACTATATAATTGTCCTCTAAAATACTATAATAAAGACACTATTAAAAGCAGAAAATTATTAGACTAATTATCATAATTAAAATAATCATTACAACATTATTATTAAAGTATTTAAGTATGATCTAACACAAAATATAAAATGCATTAATAAATTATTATAATCCTTTAATGTTCTAGTATGATACGATGACATGTGATGGTTTGATATTATCAACATTGATAATACAAGTTGATACATTGTGGAATGTAATTTTGTGGGAATTTTTGTGGTGCATGAGTGTTAATATTGTGTAAATGTATATTCATTGATTTTAATAAGTTTAATTTTAGAATCAATTTCTAACTAGTGTTGTAAAGGGATTTTCATAAGTAGTGACAAGATATTATAGGTTTCAAGATATTATTCTTGATAAGTTATTGTAATATACTAGAAAAAAATATAATCATTAAATAATAAGATGTAACTCTTTTGTGCACTGTCGCGACTCGGTGGGTAAGAGCCTACTGATATTTAGATAAAAAATGTAATTTAGGTTGACTCAATTTCACCTTACAATGTCGATTGAAAAATTCATCTTGATTTTTTTTTTTAATTCTATTTTTTATATAATATTTGTTTGTTAAAATTGTTTGATGGATTTATGGTGGTATTAATAACTTTATGTTAAATATTAGTTGTTGTTATTATATTATTGTAATATTAGTTATTATATCATTATAATATTTCAAAAATTAAACTATGAAATGACATTGTATCAAACATTTTTTTTATATAATAGTATTTTATGATATAAAATTTTAATATTTAGTAAGATTTGTGAGACTCGATCATTTTAATTGCAGTGACCCAGCCATTTTCTAATGCTTTGACCCGTTTGTAATGATCAAGTTAATGAATGGACTAATCTTTACAACACGTTAACATGTACCGATATAATTTTTTTTTGTTAGAATACTGATATATGTACAACTTCTTTCTACCCTATAACGAATTTTCAAAAATTAATTTAATAATAATAATAATAAATATAAAAATTTCAGCATATTTGTTATTATTATAACATTAAAATGGATGGTTGAATTTTTATTTTTCCTTTATTTTTTCTCTTTCATACTAAAATTTGTATTAAAATTAACCTTTGTTAAATGAAACGTCAAAGACTTTTATCTTGTAAATTGAATTTGGAATTCATAAAAAAACCAAAATAAAGAAGAATTGTAAAATAGAGTCCGTAGCATATGTTGTCGACGAAACTGAAAGTAATGAAGTGGCGCTGATTAGGGTAATCAGTTAATCGACCGTTGAATTTACGTACAAGATGTGCATGTAGAGCAGGATTCGAAGATACCGACATACACGGCACAACGCAGAGCAAAGAGAAAATAAGAAGCAAATATGGCCTCTCTTTCCCTTCCGCTCAATCACCGGTATTCACTCTCCTTCTTCGTCTTCTCTTCTTCATGGAGAGAAAGAAGAACACAAAATCCTTCTTCGTTATCCGAAATGAATGACATGAAGCGACAACAAAAAGAGCATTCGGGACTCTCCCGCCATGAAAGGACGTAGGAAGCGCAACGGCATCGTTTTATGGAGCTCGCTCTTCCGGTGTACTCTCCTTGTCGTCGTCTCTTTCATCTTCTTCACAACCCTCCTCTTCTCCTCCTTCCACGAGCACCACCCATCGCTCCCATTCAGATGGAAAACTCCACCCACCATCTCCCACGCAACAATCACCATCCGCGAAACCGTCATGCTCCCCGACCAGGCTCTCATTTTCCTAAACTACCCTCCTTCTTTCCGCTTCCACGCCAAACACGACCTTCTCTGCCTCTACTTCTCCGCCGACTCAACTCGCAGGCTCACTCAGCCGCCCATTCAGCTCCACCTTGCACGTCTCGGCGAGCAGATCGTGCGGTGCGCGCTCCCTCCACGTGGCAACTCGGTGTCGCTTATCATTAAATCGGACGGCGTCCTTCCCACAAAAGATTCATCCACTCACAAGTGGACCCCACTCGTCTACGAAGCCCTCTTCGACCGCGACAACACCACCATCGTCTTCGTCAAGGGCCTCAATCTCCGACCCCAGAGACTCATCGAACCGTCCAGATTCCACTGTATCTATGGCTGGGATTTCACCAACCCCAAATTCTTTCTTAAATCAGATGTCATATCAGGTGCACAAGAGATCATAAGGTGCAGAACACCGAAAAGCATCTTAGCCGGCCATGACCAAGCTCAAGCCCAAGCCCAAGCTCAAGCCTATGCCCAATCCATCAAAGTCACAATCCAGGTGGGAAACAGAGAAATATTTCCTTCCATAGCCCGTCCTGGGCTTCGTCCCCAATACTATAGGCGGATGAAAAAAGAACATGAGATATGTATTTGCACCATGCTCCGGAACCAAGCTCGGTTTTTGAGAGAGTGGGTAATCTACCACGCCAAAATCGGAGTCCAACGTTGGTTCATCTACGACAACAACAGCGATGATGATATAGAAAACGTGATTTCTCTCCTGCAAAGCATTGGCTACAACATCTCGCAACACCTGTGGCCTTGGGTCAAGACACAAGAAGCTGGGTTTGCCCATTGTGCCCTACAGGCCCGGGCCTCGTGCAACTGGGTTGGGTTTATTGACGTGGATGAGTTTTTCAATATAAAGACACAAGGGGGCTTGTCTCGCGTGATTTGGCACCATGCGAAGCCCGGACACAACGTTGGTGAGATTAGGACACTGTGCTTTAGTTTTGGGCCTTCGGGCCTGCGAGAAGTACCACGAGAAGGCGTAGCGGTGGGGTACACTTGTCGATTAAGGGCAAGTGAGAGGCACAAGAGCATAGTGAGACCTGAGGCACTGAACCAGAGTTTGATCAATGTGGTGCACCACTTCCATCTAAGTGCGCCATTTGTGGCTGTGGACGTGGGTACGAGTACGATGGTGATTAACCATTACAAGTATCAAGTGTGGAAAGTGTTTAAGGAGAAGTTCTATAGGAGGGTGGCAACTTACGTGGCAGATTGGCAGGAAAAACAAAATGTAGGGTCTAAGGATAGAGCACCCGGTTTAGGGACCAAAGCGGTTGAACCTGCCGACTGGGCCAACCGGTTTTGTGAGGTTAAGGACTACAGCTTGAAGAATTGGGTGTTAAGGAATTTTTTAGATCGACGCACCCGTCTTCTTCCTTGGCAACCTGAATTTGAGCATCATCTTCGAAAGAGGCGAAGACGAAATGACAAAAGCCCTCTCGACATACAACCTTTTTTCTAGTTCTCTACTTTTTCTCTTCAATTTTTTTTCCATTCCCTCTTGCAACATTTAATATATCATCACATAGACATAATTGGTTTTATTTCTTTCTTGTTTCATTTTGTACATAGATATAACAAAATTATAGGCATTGATGTAGGCATGAATTTTGTGTACAAAAAAATATAATAAAAACTAATCTCTTGACCAGACATGATGATGGGCATGCTACGTTTCCTAAAAATAAAAAATATTACTTTTTTTTTTTAATTTTACATATATATTTTGCATTATATATTTGTTTTGTGCTTATCACATTTTTTTCATTTATAGAATATTTTTATATTTGACCGGACTCTTTATCATATCAACAAACGTGAATATCTCATTAATTGTTAATCTACCAATATATAAGACCTACCAACACATCAATCAAGTTGTAATTATGATTTGTATAAACTAACTTCGCAATCTATTTTTCACCAACATTTACACATTTTCCTTATAGTTTAGAGTGATACTGGTATTTTCTATTTCCACTCAAAATTATTTATAAATCTTTCTTATATCACTTATAATTATCACTTTTTTTTTCACCATAATAATACTTAAAAATACATGTATCTTTCTTCTTGTTAATAATTTATTATATTTGATATAATATGATAATTACAAATTCAAACCCAAGTCAACCTCTTGAGTTCATATAAATAATCTCAGCGGATCAAATACCTATAACAATACAATGCAAAATCATGAAGATGTCAACATGTTATTTTTATAAACTACATAAAATTTACAAATTATTTAATTAGCTTGTGTGATTTGTAATTCGAAATCTATTTTTTTTTTCAGTATTCAAGTCGAAACGGACTAAAACAAAATTTGCAACCGACCGACGAGATAATGAAAACGACGTAATAAACACTCAACTAATAATGAAAGGTATGAAGACTATGGATGCAAGAGAAACAAAAGGAGAATATAAAGAATAGAAGTACTGAACCCGCTATTTCTTTCACCATGGGATGTAGAGAGAAAATAACAATATATATATATATATATATATTTTTTTTTTTTTTTTTTTTTTTTCATTATGGGACGTAAGAAAAAAAGTAAGGAGGTTGAAGAAAAAGAGTCTCTGCTTGGAATATGGAGACTCTTGGGTTGTGATGGGCTGGGTGGTTTATATAATAGAATAAGAGGCTTTTTACTGTGTTTGGTGGGCTTTTTGTGGTTAAAGATGGTTGGTAATTGTATTTGCATGAGAGCAACGTGGAGCATGCTGGTTGTTGGTCGTCCCTGCACCGTCTTTTAGTAGTGGTTGGAATTATGTACGTGATAACAGAGAATTTTCAAAGATGGTATATTATTGATTATATTATGAATATTTAAAAACTGAAACTTTAATTGAAACTTTCTTATCAAACTCATAAAATTTGCTTTAAACTTCAATTATTGTGTTTTCCATTTTAAGATGATGGTTGTTCTCTAAGTGTGTCAACTTCCACATTCGGACATAGAAGTTCCTTCTATCGCTACGTGACTAGTAAAAATTTGTTAGAATTATCTTCTATATTGGTGTTCTTTGCTATCCAATATATAAATGGTTTGATGAATTGTATGTTGTTGGTTTGTATATTGAACATTTCTATTACGTCTTCATTTAATTTTATTCTAGCTGATGAATTGAGTTATATTGATTCACAACCTAGTGTGTTGTATAAGAAAACACTTTTGAAAAGAGTGGTTGAAAAGAGTTTAAATTATTTTACAAGTCACTTTCAATAGATAGTAAGATGGTTAATCATCATATATGTGAAAAATATTATCATTTGTGAGATGAAATATCATAAATATTTGGGTAGTATTCATAATATAAATCATTTCTTATATTTTGATATTGTTTTTAAATGTTATTACAAATTTGAGTATGTGATTTAAATTTTTTTAAAAATATATAAACATAATTCAGATAAAATTGTTGAATTAGTTAATTCTGTAAAAAGAATTTGAAAAAAAAATAAATAATTGGTACATATAAGCTCATGATGAGCAGTAACATAGATATCATATGTTAGTATAATAGACTTTGTATCTCTATCTAAATTATCATCATTTGTTGAAGTTTCTAAATATTTGGTAAGGGCATATGAGAGAAAATGATTCCATAGATAAAAAAAATGGACTAGAAAGATATTTAAATGAATTCATCGTAGATGATGATGAAAAACTGGATATTTTACTTTGATGCAAAATAAATATTTTAAAATTACTGATTTTATCAATAATGGTGGGAGACGTGTCAGTCACCCTTATTTCTCCAATGACATTTTAGAGTGCATTTAGTATTTGGGGTAAGGTTTTGAATGCTTTTAGAAGCTCATTAAATCTTTCAATGCCTCTGATGCACTTATTTCTGTTCAAAATTAATTAAAATCTACAATAACTTAGTTTAACAATCTTAAATATCAATTAAGAGTTTGAATTTTTTTGAAAAGATAGTCACATGTATGAAAATTTTGAATTTTTTTTTATAATGATTTTACTATCTATATATATATATATATATATATATATATATATATATATATATATATATATATATTATTTAATAAATTTTCTAATTGTAAAGTTGTAGAGTAGAAGTTGAAAAAGCATAAGGAAAAATTGGATTCGTTAATACTAGTGGTTCATCATATTAATACTAAATAAGCTAAGTATGTTGTTTTACTTTATTTATTATTATATTTAATTAATACATTATGATTTTGATAGATTCTAATCAATTTTTTTTTTTTGAGTCGTTTGTTAGACAAATGCTGAGATCATATCTCGTTGTTTTTTAGAATATATTTTCTTTATTTTTATTTTGTCATTATTTCATGACTTATTAGTTCTTTTTTAGGTAAGGCTATTTAAAAAATCAGTCAATTAATAACTTAAGAATGTTCATTAGTTATAAGTATTTTAAGATATGTTTTTAAGGTAGAAAAAATTCTCTTGTTATTTTTCTATTGGACTCTTTATGTTAATGATTAACATATCTCAAAATAAATTATTAATAGTTTCTTTATCATCTAATTTGTAACAAAGTTTTAAAATTGTGTAAATTTATAGATATATAATGTATTTTCTGCTTCTTCTTTTCTTTTTCTTTTTTATTGTTGTGCGTTTTGGATTGTATTTACAGTTTTCTTTTCGTCAACAAATTTATTGAAAATAGTCTAATTTTATTATCAACTTTGATTACATTGAAAGACATGTAAGTTTGATTTTATTGAATATTTTCTTTCTTATCTCTTAACAACAATTTTAACTATATTAATAATATATATTTTAATAATATATGTTTTTCAATCATGTTATTGATAATCTTTATTATCTCATTTTTATTCTTATCATTTGGATAAAGATTTTTTACTTTCTTATATATTTAAATATTTGATGTAGGCATTTAATTTGATTAAATAATTATCCTATTTTATGAATAATTTATAATATTTGAACATATTGTTAGTAAATTTTATTTCATTCATTTAGACAAATAAAATAAAATTAAATAAAAAATTAAAACTTAACATTTTTCAAAAAATAAATTTTTGATTCAATTTAAATTTAATCTGAATAATCCACCAAATTAGTTCGTAATCCTAATAACCTATATCCAATTAATCTGATATATAGAATGGTAGGATATAGATTTTAAATTTTAAATTTTGGTTTGAGTTGGATTTATCAAATTGAACCCAAACCTGGCCCAATCGACATGCTCACTCTTTCAAATCTGACTTAGACTTCTCCATCCAATGTCACCTCACTCTTTTATCAGATAAAATTAAATAAAAATAATAAATATAATTATTAGTTAGAATATTTTTATTTTCTTACTTTTTAAAATTATCATGATTTCGATTAAATTAATAATTTATTTTATTATATGTTCATGTATTCTTACAATTGTGACGATGATATTTTTACGAAAAAATAAACCATGTAGTTGATAAATCTAAATATAATTAGGATTTAGAGTTTAATCGTGAATATAATTAGATATAAAACTATTTTTACGTTGATTTTTATTTTGAGACATTATTTTTTGTATATTTCTTTAAAATTTAAATATATTTTTATATTATTGTTAATACTAATGATACATAAAAAATCATGCATGAGGATTACAAATATTATAATTAAAAGTAATTTCATCAAATATATAATTAGTATTATGTTAAGATCCACATAAATTATTTTCATTTATCATTTTAATTGATATAGATCTATAAAATATACTTAAATTTTAAATAATTCTGAAAAATATACTTCAATTATAATATATATATATATATATATATATATATATAATAAAAATTCTAGAAAACATAATTAATATTCTAAAAATTTAGAGAGAAAAACGTATTGTATCTTAAATATGAACATGATATCAGAATTAACACATGCAAGTGGAGGAGAGAAAAGTTTTCTTCTATTGAATTTTTCCTTATCTAAACCCAAAACTAAATATTACCTACATGCCGCCATTGGAAACTGACCAAACAACTGTTTTTATTAATTAAATAATAGTATATAATATTATATTAATATATTATGTTATATGATGAATGTATTGATGGTGAAAGGATCAGTGTTAGAATTGGAAAACTTTCCACAACTTCCAAAACAATAATAAATGAAGAGAATAGATGGACATTCATGCATCAAAAGTTGCAGAGTCTAAAATCCAAAAGACTAAAAATTCCATCACCAGCACATGTTTTGAACAAAGAAAACTGACCTATCCAATACCTTATGTCATCAGCCAATCACAGGAATGTTTGGCAACCAACTAACAAGGCTGATCCACAAGCAACAAAGCAAACCAAAGAACCAAACAGAGTCTCAAAGCAACATGGTTTAATCTACTAAAAGGAAATAAGATATTCACTGTCATGTAGTAGAGGATCTGGAACAAAACTACATGATAAACATTTGTGACTAAAATCATTTCCCCTGTGAAGTGAAACAAGACTCTCTGTGTACTTAGCAGCCCTTATAGAATCATATTTTCCATAAACCTGAAGATCCCTTGTTTTCTCCGAATCATAAAGCACCAATCTTTCGTTGTTGTCCTTCCAAAGAAACCGATTGCTCCCATAAAACCCCACGAGCTTGTAAATCACCGGCACGGGTCCAACACTGTATTGCTTCACCCACGACCCTTCTTCCCAATAGTCTCTCATCACCCACACGTCAAAGCACTTCTCTGTCCCCCTCACGGGGTAAACAACCACACCAATTGAAGCAGATTCCTCAAAGGGTGCCAGAGTTACAAACTTCTCGTCTGAAGAGTCACGTATTCTTGGCACCTTTATCTTCCTGAAGGACTCGTTGACTATGTCAAATGCTAGAACAATATCCTCTGATGCACCTGACTCTTCAACAAAGCCCCACCAGTGGCAGCAATTGTTGGCATAAGTGAAAACCCGAGAAGAGCCCCAAATTTCAATTGGGAGTGGGAGAGAATCTTCAAGTTTTTTCCAAGAGTTGGAATTAAGACTATACAACTCAGCTGTCCAATACCCTAGTTGTCTTTCATCTGTTTCCTTCAGCCAAAGGTCTTTGATCACAACAACTTTGTAGTCATTGGTTTTGGGGTCAAAGCCAAAGCCGGCATAATCCGTGAAAGAATAAGTCCCATGGGGAGTTGTGAAATGGGATTCAGGCAAAGCCTTGAACTGTCCCAGTGAAGGGTTGATCAAGACATTAGGATTGCCTTCTAGGAAGTATATGCCATTGCAAGGACCCAAGATTTCGGTCCAGTATTTGTGGTCAGAGTTGTGCTCATAAGGAGGGCTCAAAACATTGGAGTAAACGAGTTGTTTGGGGTCATTCACGTTCCAAGAAAGGACAGAAATGTAAGTTTTGAGGCCAGAGAAAAAGGGTCTTCGAATGACCAAGAGATGTTCCTCTTGGCTTTGAAGATTGTTGTAGACAGCATGGTAATTGGTAACAAAATGAGGATCGGTTATGAGATCAAACCAGGTTTTGCAAACGCACTTGCATAGCAGCAACACCTTCGCTGGCAACCTTGAGAGTACATTGGACACCAATTCTCGAGGCAAATGCTCCATGATTTGCTCACCTTCTTCGAACACTTGCAAGTTGCAATGGGAATTCTCGAGTTTTGCTCCTTCCCTGTGCTGATTCATAACATGATAAATATCAAAATTGGACAGTGACTAAAACAAAACTCAGTGTCTCCCTTTTGTCTTCATCTCTAAACCCATTTGCGGGTCAAATTTGGCTGCCAATAAATTATTTGAATTGGAAAGGTATTGTACTGGATGTTAGCAAAACGGAATTCTATAGATACTTTTATGGACTTCATCCGATATTTATGATATTATTCTATTGCTTTATTTCATTGTTTTAGCGTGTGAATTGCGTTGCAATTTAAAATCGAAGTCAAGAGTATTAATTACTATAATTTTTGTATTTTCAAATTAAAATAAGTGGAGATTTGACTTCTTCCTTTATATATATATATATATATATATATATATATATATATATATATATATATATATATATATATATATATATATATATAAGGAAGGGAAAAATCTATTTTGGATTTGAAAAATGTTTTCTTAACCATGCTACGTGGTACGAAAGTAATGAACAATATCTTAAGAAGTTTTGAACGTACATGATGTGACTAAATTTAGTTTCTCTTCTAAGTATAGTTCACTCCAAATCCAAAATAGTATCATTAATATTCAAATCAATTTAATTAGAAACACGAGTCTTATTATTTTAAGAAAAACATTTATTTATTTACAAGAGAAATACCCAAATTTAAAAGATTTAAGATTTGATTGAAAGTTCAAAAAGATTTTTTTTATTTTATTCAAATTTAACATTTGAAAGAATATTTGTACGAAAAATATCATTTTTAAATGGAAAACAACCTTCTTATTTTTTAATTAAAATGAAATTATCCTTGCTGGAGTTAGCAAACGAAAAATTAGTTAACCTTTGACCTGACATTAAAGTAAAGATTTAATCCTTAACATATATTTTCTCTCTTACTTAATCGTGTAAGTATTGAAAATTAATAACAAAAGTCTTAAATAAAGATTTTTTTTATCCTTACGATTTTCTAAAGATTTTTAACAACAAATTTACACAGGGAAAGAAACAAATCTAGAAATATGGGTGTTTTTAAAGAAAATAACCACAAGGAAAGAAGAAAATGAAAGTTATTAAAAATTAAATATTGAGAGTAAAAGAGTCGACGTACGAAATTTAATTTAAAGAATGAATTTGAACATGAGAATGAAATATATGAATTAAGTTTAAATGTTTATGATTAGAAAATGCTGAAAAGTAAGTATGAAGAAAAGAGATTGAGTAGAATAATTGAGAAGTCAATTAAAAATATAATGGGGTGAATCGAGAATTAAAGAATTGGAATATTAAGTTAAAGGTTTTAAATTGAGAGAAAAGACATGGATAAAAAGTTATATAATAAAAATATATGTGAAAATAAGAACGGTTACGATCTTAGTAAGAGACATACGTGTTTATGGATATTACGTGAAAATAAAGTGGTTTAAGAAAATAGGAAAACAAGTTATAAAAAAATAATTATTTCTTAATTTTATTTTTTATTTAATGTATTTTATTTGACTTCACCTTGATTTTATTATTATTTTTATATTTATATTTAAAAGTATCTTAGCGTTTACTCAAAGAAAATATAATTAGGGTAAAATAAATATAATAGAGATTATTATTAAATTGCATGAAGAAACTTGCATTATGAAAAAACTACGAACAAGAGATAAACATGTTTAATAAAGTTCTTTGTAATTTGGTTGTCATCTTTATTGATTTTCTTTATCAGTCCATGTTTTTTTTACTTTTTACATAAATGGAGTGGAAGTTTCTCATATAATTCGGATATTAGAAAGATTACCATATATAACATAAAACTTCTCCTCCGATTTTTTATTTTTTATACAATTTTTTTTCGCACTTTTTTTTCGCACTTTTATCTTCCATCGTACATTTATTTTCCAGCAACTTACTTTCATTACATTTTTACTATTCTTGCAATTTACTAAATGTTAAAAATTATATAAAAATTCAAATTATATATGGACAATCATTAATTGAAATCTACTTTATTTTAATCATTGAATAATTGATATTGATTTTGTATAAATCTTCTAAAATTTAAAATGTGTGTACTTGCTAGTTAAAATAAAAAAATTTACCTAATTGGTCATTTCCGTTATATATTATATATAATACAATTTTGATAATAATTTATTTGTTATCTTCGATGACTCAATGTGGTCTCACGTAGGATGAAAATAAAAATATACCTGCAAATATTTGTAGGTAAAATCGATACGGATATTAAATGCATATGTTAAATACATATCATAGATAACAAATATTTTAATTATTCGATTAAATATATTTTATCTCATAGATGGAATTAAATAATTTAATTTATAAAATTGATTTGTTTTTTATCTCATAGATGGAATTAAATAATTTAATTTATAAAATTGATTTGTTTTTATTTCATCTAAATGAGTATGTCTCGGTCTCATATTTACTATGATATATTGTTAGGGGTCATTTTTCATGTCTAAAATATTATTCATTTTGGAGTTTTGTTTCATTACGATTTTTTTTTAAAAGACACTTCGGGTTAAGAGAGGGTATATATAAACTACCTTTGACCTCAATTCCTAAGTGATGTACAAAAGTTGTAAGTATACGAAACAATTCCGTTTAAGTACAAGAAAAGTAAATGAATACAATAAAACTATGTTTCTACGAAAACAAGTAAATTATCCTATCCAAAATAGTAATCAAAGCATGTAAATAAAAGTATTAAAAAAATAATAAATCTAAACTACTAAAGTAAAAACTATAAATTACATTGAATATAAAAGAAAATATGTAAAACTACTTTACTAAAGCTGTAAAAAAAATGTTGTAAAATAAAGAATTAAATTTAAGTGCTACAAAACATTAAAAGGACTAAAGATTACAAAGGAACATATATGTAGATATTTTAAGAGTAGAAACATAATTGAAATGGAGGTTATAAAAAGAATGAAGAGCATTAAGCATATTTAATTAAAATGAAAGTTGTTAAGAAGAGTTGTTTAGGAATAACAATGAATATTTTATTATAGATCTCATATCTGAGTTGTTTAAAATTAAAGAAAATTGTTTAAATAAGCAACTCTGACTAAATTTTAAGCAACTCATATATAAGATCCATAATAAAATATCTATGTTTATTCTTAAGTAACTTTTATTAAAAACTCATTTTGGATATGCCTAAAAATACAATAGGAAACACAAAGATTGAATCTCCAATTATTACATGTTATTATGATTATCATGGATTTCTAGAATTTGTTTTGCAATAACAAAAACATATTCACAACAATTCCAAAAAATTACAATTCAATTAAAATAAGAAAACAAAATTAAATTCTTAAATTTATAAATTGAATTGTTATGTAAATGATACATTTAATTAAATAACCTTAATTACATTAATTATAATGGATTATAATTCATTAATAGTTAAGAATCAAATTCGAACTATAAAAACAAGTTTTAATTTGTGACTCAACAATAAAAACGAATTAGAACATGATTAAAAGTGGATAAAGAATAAAAGAAAGAAAAGTGGAAGGAGAACATGAGAAATAAAAATTAAATGGAGAAACAAATTTGATTCAAAACATCTTAAATCGATAAACTTTAAAGTATTATTCGACAAAGATTCATTTGAATTGAATTTAAAAAATAAGCAACACAAAATAAAGAAAATTAGGTTCTAAAGTGCAAAATTCAAAAAATGAAACTTAATTTATGAATTTTGACCTTTAAAAACCTATTTATACAACAACATACATGTTAAATTGTTAAGGTTCCAACATAGAATCAATTGATAATATATAGAGAAGTCTAATATGTATTTAAATCATACAAAATGACCAATATTAGACTTCCAACATAAATACACATATGATACGTAATTATCCAATTATCTAACAAAGAACTTAAATAACAATTTTATATATAATTAAAATTTTACGACAAATTCCTTACGCAATTGATGCTAGTCGACACTTTCATTTAACAAAATCCTCAGTTTGCTTAACGACTTATTAACAATTTCCTACTGAGCAAAATTCTTCACTCGTTAAACAAAGTCTTCATAATAAAATTTTATATTTTCTTTAATTTATCATTTCTAAAAAATAAATATCTAATTAGTTAAAATATATAAATTAAACAATAAATTTAATATAAAGATTTAAAAAAAACTATACTAGTAATTAATTAAAAAATATAGTAATTATATATAAATAAAAATACTGAAAAAAATATTTATCAAATAGTATTTAATTCGTAGATACCATTACTCATTAATAAATTTTTATCTAATATTAAAAAAATAATTGTTAAAAAAATGATTGAAGAATTATTTAAAATTAAAATTTATAGATTTATATTTTTTATCTAAATTTATAAAATTAATTTTTTTAAAACTAATATTATATAAATTTATATATTATATTATAACTTCATTAAATATTTTTATAATTACTTCATTAAATAATTTATAAAAATAAACCAATCAAATTAAATAATTTTTTAATAGAATAAATTACTTAAAAACAAAGTGAAATCATAAATTCTTATTTTATATTTTTTAAGTAAAAAATAACTAATGTGATTGTTCTATTGGATATTTCCTAAATTTGTTTATTATTTAAATTTAAATTGTATTTTTTTTCTTATTTATAAGTTTTAATTTTGGTTTATTTTTAAATTATTTGATATTTTATTTATTAAATTTGAACCAATTAATTATTTTAAATAAAATATTGTTATTTTTATCAGCAAAAACACATGTACATGGATATCCGTTTCCATATTTTTATTTTAAAGAATTAAAGTTTAATATATGTTATTACTATATATATAAATTTGTGTAACTTTATTTATTTTACACTATATTGAAGTGTTATGATAGAAAAGAAAATAGAAACCTAGAAATAAACATAGACAAGAAAGAACTTGTGATTAGAGAAATAGGAGAGAAGAGAAAGGATAAATTTTAATTATTTTAATTTATTTTATTTATAATCAAAATAAATCG